AGTTATTCTATTTTTTCTAAAGTCATGTCAAGGCCTGACCTCCCCTTTAGTTTTTAGTTTTATTCCAGCAAGTCATAGAAGGGTTGGCATTTCTGTGGCATCCTCCATTCAGTCTTCAACAATCGTCAAAGATTTCTATGAGAGCCCCGTTCCTTTTTTTCATATTGTATTGTATTTCTGCTGCATCTTCAATGCTTTCATTATACCCCAGTGGAGCATCGAGTTCAATGAATGGCTGTACATAAAGACAGATTTTAAGCGAGGCAATTACTAAATTTGACTTTTTACATCCCAATCTCATTATTTAAAAATCTTACCCACCCTTGCCCAAAGCTCCTCGACTTTCATTAGTAAAAACAAATCTCTAAAGAATAGAAATGAAAAGTTGTAATTTTCGCAAGCAGCTCAAGAATCACTTTGGGAGCCGTTTCCAGCAGCAGATTAACGCATTGTTGGCCTGTTGGGAACAGCCGATGTGGACACAAACTAAATGTACAAAAGGGGCTTAACCAGAGCAAAGAACATCAACAACTGGATTATTAAAAGAAAACTTAAACACACTATATTAAATCATAGACATGTTTATATAATGTTTATATAGTGAAACAAAATCTCATAATACACATCAATGGATGTGTACATCCTTCATCATAAAGCTGATTTCTGGTCACACGTGTTTATAAAAAGATCCTCTTGTGGCCCAGTTCACAGGAGCAGATGTAACCCACATTATCTCGCCCAGAATAGCAGGTGATATCAAGTGTATTTCAAAAATAGACTTGTCAAATGTGCCGTGCGCTGATGATCGGACACCACGGAGCCTATTCGTATGCTGTGTCAAATTCAAGGAAGGAACAATATTCTGCCATCTTACCGAGCTCTTCCAAAGCAATAAAACAGAGGCAGCAATGGAACAAATGCTTGACCGTAGGTCTTTTTGCAACACACCAACTGTTTAAGAAGTGGTTTTGTTATTCTGCTCACATACCCCCATTCTCCCCCTGAAAATGCTTGATTTCACAGGGCTCCCACTAAACAGCTTTTTCTGAGGTGAGCCTAATTGAAAATGAAGGCAATCAGATCAAAACTACTCGAAGCCCTCAGGTTCATGATGCAGAGGCAACTTGTAGCCAATTAACGATCAGTGCTGGGTTGCTTCAGCTGCTTTATTACCTCGGCTGCTCACTGGTTATGTGCCTCAAGTGAGGCCTTTGACAATTTAAAAGAGAAGTTGAAAGAAATTGGAACATAAATCTGGCCCTTGTGCACTAATAGTGTTTCTACTCGGGGTTCTGCTACCACCCTCCATTTATGACAGCCTAAATTGTCAGCTTGAAGTCCACTATCAGAGGGTGCTGCAACTATTTAGATCTGGAAATTCAACCAATATGGTTCGGGTTGAATCGTCAGAGGACATGGAATAATTACATTTGCAATCCGCAGAGCTTGAGCCTGACAGGTCTTGTGATTCCAATGATCAGCCATAGACAATGAGGACCAACCCATGATGATTTGCAGTTCATGTAGCAAGAAAACATTTTGAAATTGTCGCTGTAATATTCAACTGCCAGAATGAAAAACAGAGATGCCCCTCTTGTTGTTTAAGGCTACCGGCTGCCTCAGAAAGATGTCAGCTGTGGGCGAAAAAAAAAAAGTTGTCAAATTGGAGATGTTAAACCAAGGCTTACAAATATTTAATTAAGTAACCCCTCAGCTGGTTTGCAAAGAAGATTTTGCTTTGTGCCTACATCCTTACCACGAGGGACTTGTTGCCACTGGAATGTGTCAGATGACCAGACAGCACACAGTGGAAAGAAACACTCATCCATCATTGTACCGTGGCCTCTAGCACATACCGAACCCTGTCCAAGCCGCTCAGTTGGCCGACAGCTCCGATGTGACGCTAACTGACATGAGCGAGGCAAAAAGCATGGCATTAATTCAACACCCGTCATGTTTTCCACTCACTGACTCACTGCCCTGGAAAGTAAACAAATGGATGGACGAGTCACGACCTGACTCTGACTTCAACCCCACCTACTTTATCACACAGTGGCTGTCGACGGCTGTGTGTTTGTTTTACCCTCCAGCCACATTTTCTTCACAGGGTTGTCCGCATTAACACTTCGGGAGCGATCATGTTAAGGGGACAAACATTTAGTCCTCGTTTAAAGCTTTCAGCAAGATTGAAAACAGACCTTAATCATGTTCTTGCTTTGGCATCAGTGAGATTACAAATTCAAAGCGTTTTCCAATCGTTTACAGGAAAGTTTGAATGTGGGGGTTTGTTATTGTAGAGTTCTGCCCTAAATCATTTAAAACATTCACTGATTAATCTGCTCTTTATTCTGCCGCATAGCTCTGGGGATTTATAGCTCACAGTTTCATCAATTAGTTATTCATTAATAACTTTGGTTTGTGGTCACATACAATGTAAAATTAGTATCAGCCCGAGGTGTCCTTTCCCTTCAGTGCTATTTGTCTGGGTTTCCAGTTTGTTTCAGTCTTTTACAAAAAAGTTAAAATTCCACCAAACAGACTCAGTATATTATTAAAAACACTTACCTTGTTTCACTTCATTGGCCTTTTTAGGTAAGTTTCTCACAATTTACAGTGTAGTTAGCTATTAGAGGTTAACTTTCTCTAAGGGTTAAAAAAAAAAAGGTGTGGACAGTTTCAAACCATAAGTAATGTTCAAGGTGTTCCAAATATGTCAGGAAATTGTGTTTACATTTTTCTCACACCCTCCCGGCAAATCATCTGTCAGCCTCAATCTGGACATTTAGTCCATTTGCCTTGCAAACTTTAATGGCTGTGCAGCTCGTACTTTCCTAATGGTGTGAAAGCAAGAGACACGACCGCTCCGACTGATTCATCCCCTCTCTGTCATAACAATGAAGAGCTGAGCAAAAATCATTTTGAGAGATGCACTCAAGGGAGCAATCAATACATCTTTTTGCTGGTCAAGAATAATCATGCTTTGATTAAGAGGACAAAAAAAAAGCTGGCAAAAAAAAGGCGTAGCATCGCTTTTCCTCCTCTTGGGAAAATGATAAGGTTAGCATGGGCTGCGCTTTGAACTAAAACTGTTGGGTCACACTGAGAAATGCTCAAGCAGCTTGTCGTAGGCTTTTTTTCCTTCAAGCTTTCATCACAGAGTGGGACTGTGATTCCACGCTGAGGTCAAGGAACTAATGAGCAGAATGAGGAAGACAGACACCCAGCGAATGGGTACATTTCCAAAGAACGTTACATCTAGTGAAGGATTTAGTCAAAAACTGTTTGTAGTTTTTTTTACAGGGGGTACATGCAAATACCTTAACACATGTCACATAAATAAAGACATAATAAAAACCCACTGTTAGCAGTTCTGTTCCCCTACTGTAGCCATATAAAGACTAATCAGAAAAAGTAGTTGCCAAACATTGGTTACATTCACTTAAAAGAAGCGATGACCAGAAAAAGTAACAGCCATCAACAGACGAAAGGACCATTACATTTCGGGGAAATGGAAGAAAATAGTGATATTCACTAAAGCAAACTGTCCCAGTTTAAAAATAACAGAATCCACCTATGGGAGTTTCCCATTTTTGAAGGCGTGTGCTGCAAAGAAATCGTCAACAGAAGTGCATTCTAGGAGAGCAGGAAAGGGCAGGATGGAAAAAAAGTAAAAGGCCTATAAAAGACATGCAAGATGGGCTTAAAACAAAAATGCAAAAGCCACATGAATTCTGCTTTTAGTCTTGAGTAGGAAACCAATTAGACATCTTAATTTTATGTGCAAAGATTTAGAGGTTTTGTGGTTCTCATGTCTGCACAGTTATGGTTTTAGACTGGTGCACAACATCACTGCCAGATTTAATGTACTTTCCAGGTTTTGGTAGATGCAGTTTAACCCCTTTTTGACACCGCTTCTGACAAATTTGAGCAAAGTGCATTTTTCTCACGCTAGATGATATTTTCAATAGGAAAAAATAAGTCTTTGCGTGACATGACAATGCATTTATGTTACCCGCCTGTTGTGTGATTGAGTGTGGGGTCGGTTTATCCTGGCTGCTTGTCCCTGTCACTGTGTGATTTAAGCTGGAGACCCATTATGGAGGAGTTATTGTCTCTGACAAGCCTGCAGGAAAATGACTAATGCATTTGTGTGTTTAAAGGCTGCTTTTTCTCCTCTAATGTGCTGGCAATACTTGTCTTTTCGTAAATGTAACTTTTGTAAAATATGTGTTTTTGTGGGGTGAAAAGCGAGCAAGCATGGGGCGATGGTTATGCTTTTTGACAAAGGCCAAACACCAGGATGTGAAGCTCAGTGATGTAGAGGCAAGGAGACTGACAAATGTTGGCCTTATTAGCCCATCTGTGATGCATTATGTGTGAAGTTACCAGTCTGCATCCCTTTATTAAACTACATAAACATATACAGACTTGATGAGCTTTGTATGCATCTCTGTAAATCTCACACAAACATATGGTTTCTTTCAATTCTCAGAGCTGAGACACTTTCCTTCCAGTGTGAAAACATTCCTAAAACAATTATAAGCAACTTGGATAGAAACTCCAGATGGCTTACGTAATGCAGGAACAGCGAGCTCTGTGGTTCTGTGTGGGTTGATGGTTGCACTTTCTCTCTCACATGCACTCACACATACACGCACAAATGCCTCCTATTTTGGCCCAGCTCTGCTCAAGCTTCTACAGAGGATTAGCACATTACAGGAATGGCACTTCAGCGACTTGGATCAGAGCCAATTTGTTTTCCAGTTTAGCTAGTTAAATACTACTTTATTTTCATGGGTGCTTGATTTAAACTGTCCATTCAAGTTTTGACTTGCAGGCATTTTGTTTTTGTCAATTTTCTGAGTGATTTGTTCTAATATAATTTTGCCTATTCTACCAGCAATTTTGTGGAAATTTGATCAAACCCCCTTTCTCTCTTTGCAGGAATTCCCCCTGAAACTCCATCTGTACTTGCATATACTGATGACTGGATGTCTAACATGGCAAGCAGCGATATGACTTTACTGCCAGACTGCAATAAAGAGCTCTCTGGAATCTGCAATTTCTCCTACACATGGGATGCCACAACTGTCTCGGACATCAAGCCCACGCAAAACACCACTGCCACAAACCAATCCAACAACCCCTTCCTGATTCCAGCTCCACCCCTGCTGGTACCCTTATACACGGACTGGACCGGTGCCATGGCAGCCTGGGGCCTGGCCTGGGAGGCTCATGTCTACGGTGCTGGCTGTGGTTTTGCCGTGATGACTCTAGCTTCTGCGCTCAATCTGCTCTGCTTGCCTCTGCGATGCCCTTCAGGCTGTGGCTACTTTGCTCTGGTCAGCATGTTTCTTCTTGCTGCTGGATGCACCAGGTCCTTCTCACTTCTGTATGATGCCTACGGCCACCAGAACCGCATAGCCTCCACGGAAGCCTCGCTGATGCTCTATGAAGCACCTTTTCCCTGCCTCACTGCAGCTTTCGGACTGGTTTTCCTCCTCCTGTCAATGCGCTCTAGAATGCAGCTCTCCTACTCAGCCTTCCAGAGACCCTGTTTCCTGGCTTGTCTGGTGTTCTTGCACTTTGCTGCTGCATTCGGCCCTGTAACATTACTGAAGCTCTACCAGAAAAAGCCTCCCCTGTGCCTCTTACTGTCACTCATCTCCCGTGGAGCATTTGTAGGACTGGCAACATTTCTATCGGTAGCCTATTTTGTGTTCTATATCTATGTAAGAGCAGACTCAAAGCATATCTACCACCTGAATAACACATCTCCGACTCCCGCTGAGCGCTACAACCGATGCCCCTTTGCTGAGAGCAGGGACTGGAACCGTGCAGCAGTAACTGTTTGTATATCAGCATTGTTTTCTTTGGCATGTGCAGCACTTCAGTTATATGCAATGCTCAATGCCATGGGTGTTGTGGGCGGAAAAGAGGTCTTCCACCCTTGGCCCTGGTGGGCTTTTCAGTTTAGCTGCAGACTGTGTGAACTCGGGGTTTGTCTCACATTAGCCCTTGTGGTTGCACAACCAGTCTATTGTTCTGACCAACTTCCCGACGCTGGGAGTTGCTGGACCGAACTCCTAGCTTCCAAGTCGCCCATCTTGCCTGGTAGCTACCAGTGGACGCTAAGCCAGCAGGAGAAACTTGCCATTGTTGATACCGTTGGGCTTGGAGAAACAGAGAGCCTCCCACTCTACACGCTCATGGATGAGCGACTTGTGAGTAGCCTCAATGGACTGGACCTCCTCTACCACAGCAACCGGGCCTTGGCGTACCGAGACCTGGATTTTGAGTTCCAGGGTTCTGAAAAACCAGAGGATGGAGGAGGCAGAGAGACCTCGGGTGGATCCTCGTTCACCAGTGACTCCACTGCAGATCTGCGTCCACCCTCACCAATCAACCTGCGCCGCAGCATAGATGAAGCCCTCTTCAGCGAGGCCTTGTTTCCCATGAGCCTCTTCAGTCCTGTCAGGCCCATTTGCTGCAGTGACATGTCTGTAAACAATCACTGGACTCTTCCCAGCAAATGCTTCGGTGATCCCCCCTCAGCTGACCCAGGTCTTTATCGGACGTCCTCCTGCATGGAGATGGCCTCACAACCTCAGCCCCCTCACTGTCAGTCTCAGGGTGCTGCCACTGAAAGTGCTCCGGCATCTTCTTCCATATGCTCATCATCAAGTTGTTCCTCACCGGAACGTTGGAGAGGAAGCTCCTCATCATGCTCCCTCTACAGAGCCTCTCTTGGTGACTCGTCATTGGTCCTCTGTCCGAGCCCAGAGAGACGCGCAAGGCAGCTTCTTCAGGAAGGAGGAACAGGCCAAGTTGTGCCCTCTGACCCACAGAGACAATACCAAACTCTGGGAGCTGCCTCACAGGAGAGCCTGGATTTGTCAACTGATGCGGATCGATCTGTGCAGGAGGAGTTCATCAGTGTTTGCAGACAAATCGATGCTTTGAGTGTCTGCAGTGAGACTATCGATTTATAAAGAAACTTTGGGTCACACCAATGAACTAAAACGTGTGTCCGCTATGTGCTGCAAGTTGACTGGATTTTTACAAAGTATTTGATAGTGCATGTCAGCTTAGGGTACTCATAAATAACCCAAAACTGCCAGTTTGATGAGATTTGTTTATGTGGTTAGTGAATGTCACTGCAGGTCTTAAGTGCCAAGACTGTCCAAACCAAGAGGTTTGAAAATTTTACATGTTTGATAAAAAGCAGGTTGTCACTGTTAAATTAAGAGAAACGGTTTGTGTGGTGATATTACAAATGATTTGTGTTAATATTTTAATGCATTCCAACATAGCACTGACTCAATCAAGTACTTCAAATACTACTGAAGTCATAACCTTTCAAAACACATCATTTAATGTAATGCTGACTGAAGGGGAATGACATTGCTTGTCAAAGTATATACACCTCCTCATTTCAGTACAATCTTCAGTTATTGTGCAACAGTGCCCTCTGTTGGTAAAAGGCAGCCTGAATTTATCATCTGCTTCTTTTCGAATGGACCAGAAGGTATCTTCTTCAACCGGTAAACTAATTTATTTATGTTACATTATAACTTTCCTCAACACACCGTTTTAATAAATTTGTTTTTATAATATTTGACTTCCTTTTCCGTCTTCTGAGTGATATCAAAGAACTTGTGTTAAAAAAAGACAGTTGTCTAAACACAGTATAATGCATTTATTCTCCAACATACTAACCAGAGAGAAAAGCAACTTTCCTTTGATGAGTTCTTTACTGTAAAAATTTTATTCCTCAAAGCCCCCCCCCCCCCCCCAATTAATTTACTAAATACTGCATGATTTTCCCCATCCCTCTGAAGAGAATTGCTTTAACGATCACAGCTGTTCAGAGGCTGAAAACATAAGTGTAACACTTAAAAGGGGGAGGGGGGGTGTAAAATAATGTCATAATAGTTGTGCTTTCAGGATGAACAAACAGAACTCAGGAATGGACAATTAAGACATTTTAAAACTTGAAAAAAAGCTGTAGTCACTCTGGACTAAATGTAGGTATACGTTTCTCCATGTGTTTTCAGTCCAGTTGCAAGATCTGTTTGTCAAGTGAACCCTGTGCAGAATGAAGTATCACATCAGCAAGATAGAGAAGCCAAACAGGCTTTTTTCAGACATTTTGGGAGAATAAACAAAAAAAAGGCAAGATCATCCAATATGAAAACCTTAAACATTGTTCAACATAAGCTGAAAGATAAACCAACATAGACGTGAAGTCAAAACGAGGAAGAAGGTCTGTGTATCACGTAGTTGAATGCATTTCATCCATCCCTGTTCCAAAACAAATCTCTGTTTAAAAAATAAAAAAAAAAAAAAAAACAAACTTTCCACAGAGAACTATGCCACACTGTGACAAGCAAAGGAAGCAACAAGAGACAAGATAACAAGCAACTAGTTGCACCAGTTTTGGTTTCAAGTTACAAAAGAACAGTGTCAAAAGAGGTGTAAATACACTTGGCAGTATGTATGCAATTAAAGCGGAATATAAATACAGCCACGTAGGGCTTAGTGAAAAACAAACATGCATATCAAAAACCCTCCATGCTCTTTTCAAAGCCCCCGTGACTAAGCAGGTTCAATATAAAGGAAGTTTTTATCTAAAAAGCATTCAAATTATGGGCAACCAAGTTACTTATGTTCCTTTTTTCTCTCTTTTTTTATACTAGATTTTAGTGACACTTTTGAAACATTCCTGATCTTTAGCTTTTGGTCCCTTCCTTGCTAACTGTAACAAACGCGCAGCGAGAACTGCTGGTTATTTGGCTCCTTGTGTCTGAGGGGTCTGATGAACACTGACACACAGTGAGGAAAGCTGTGGGTCAGAGTTCTGACAGCTGATTGCAGGTGACATTCAAGTCGACGCGGTGAACAGAGATGGCGAGTATCTTACACCTTAGAATTCAGACTACATCTAGTAAACAACATGAAAGCAGCCACTTCCTAAGAAGCCTACCTGTGAGGACCTTAAAATGTAAAAACCAAACATTTGCTGTGACATACTGGCACAGTGCACGTAGGGAGACCGGCGTTGTGTCTTGTGTGCAGCACGTTATATGCTAGCGTGTTGACCTGGGCTGATGGAGGCTTCTGACGGGGTGCAAAGAGCACACAAGACATGCTGCTGACCTACGACACGGCTGTTTTTGCCAGGACAAATGATCCCAGCCCACTTCCACTATGTCCCAACTACGCGGTATAACACACAGCCCTCACCTCACACCGTTCACTTCCTCTATGCTGTCAACACACACACAAACACACTCCACGAGGACAGGGCTGCATACTAAAGACACAGATTCGTACGTCTTCCGAAAAAACCCTGATGTGCCACTTCTTGAGTGCAAAGTCGATGGAGTTCAGAGAGTCGGGTGTCAGTTGGAAGATTTGCAGTTCGCTACAATGTCGCACTCCTCCCCAAATCAGCTGGTTAGGATTGGAGAGAGAGTGGACACAAAGGGTGTTGTGGGCGGCGAGTATTTTGGCAGAAGTGGTGATTTTACATTTGGTCACTGTTAGATTGAGAATGATCTGCTCGCCCCCATCAGTAAAGACGCTTCTCATAACTGTGGAGACAGAAACATGAAAAAAACGATCCGTAAAAGAAAGTAAATCATTTTAGATGTGCTATTTCAGATTGAACTGCGCTCTTTCTGACCAGTAAAGGTGTCTTTTCTGTGTGTGCTTTTGTACTTACGAGTGAAGACCGTGAACGCCCCCTTCCACCTGCGCAGACATTGTCCGCTTCTCAAACTTCAACTCCCCGGAGTACATCATGGAACTGGGAAAGATGCTACGTTGTCAAACACCACACATATAAAGGCAAATATTTTCACCCACAACACACACAACTCACCGGAGAACAGAGAGACTCTTTGCCCCGATGTCCTGGCAGCCATGTTGGATGCCTGCTATAAGGTAAGGTACAAACTTGTGGATTGAGCCCTTGTCCTGGACTGAGCCTGACACACCCTGGGCCACCTTCACCTTGTCACCCTCACTGTGAATAAGATGACAAATATTCAACATCTGGCCTGTTTAACCAAAACACTGGAAGACTGGGGAGCTTCTATGTACCTAAAGTAGCGTTTCTGACTGCTGGTGCTTTTCTCCATAGCGTCCAGGGAGCCCATGCCCCGATATTTCTTCAGCCGCACACCATCTGAGAAGAAGTACTCTCCAGGGGCCTCAGTGGTTGCCGCTAGCAACGAGCCCATCATAACTGGAGAGGGACACAGAAGGGAGTTAATTGTGTTCTTGTATTACATAACCATACCTCATCCCTGCTGTGACGAACAGATCCTTTAACTGAATGCTGTATGAAATATCAGGAGCTAGACGAGGCCTTTTCTCACCCGTCGATGCTCCCAGAGACAGAGCCTTCACCACATGTCCCACGGTCTGAATGCCACCATCGGCGATGACTGGCACGCCGAAACGCCTGGCATACTCTGCCACTTTGTACACAGAGGTTCCCTGGGGTCTCCCACATGCCATCACTAGACAGTCAGAAAACAGGTCTGATGCAGCTGACACCCAAAAGAAAAGAACTCGGGCGACGCAGGTTCAGAGCAGAAATCATAACGGGTGATATTCTGGGCTGTTCTACAGCTCCTGTTTTTTTTATTTCATTTACCAACTGTGACCCAGTCTGAACACGATATCAGTCTCCATGGCAACAGAGAACAGAGGCCTTGGTTAATCACCATGACAACTAGGAGTGATCTCAGGGTATATGTTACCAGTAGAAACCAACAGCCTTTCTTTTTCACTGTCTAAATGTTTTAAAACATGTGCTATTTGCTCACATTCAATCTTAATTCACTGTGCGATTCTACATTTACGATCCAAAATTCAACGTCCATCATTTTGCTTGTCCCGTACCTTCCTGTGTGATGCAGATGGAGCCGCACCCCATTCCAACTCTCAGCGCATCGACACCAGCGTCGATCAGATTCTTTGCCTGGGCTGCCGTTACCACTGCAGGAGAAGGAGGCGAGGGCAAAAACAAATTTAAAAATGCAATGTTCAGTTAATGGCTCCATAATTTGTTGCTGATTTCAGACAAGGAATTGAACTTAATTTTCATTATAGAGGAACAGCCCCTCAGGTACACAGAAAGATTTCTTATTCCAACAAACCCACCATTTCCTCCTACAACTTGCAGGTCGGGGTGCTTCTGTTTGATATAATTTATCATGCCGATCTGATACACCGAGTTGCCTTGTGAGGAGTCCTAGAAAGGCAAAAACATTTCTACTTAGAAAATTACCAGAAAAAATAAAAACAGAAGAAGAACAGGCAGAACAAACATATGGTGTAATACGCTGCTCCAATTGAATCTACGATCTCATTGGTTCCAAAAGATATCACTATCAAAATGCTATTTTTTGCTCACTTAAAATTAGAACCTTTTGTCGACAATTTGCGACTGTTGACTCTATGAGCCACTACTTAGTAGAACGGGGGGCTCTTAAAGAGACAGAAAACACAAATAAAAGCCTACAAAACATCTCTGTGGAAGAGTTCAAAACTGTCACAATGTCTCAGAGAATCCCCTCTGATGCATTTTTAGGAACTTATCTTGAGAGATCAAGCCACTGAAAGGACCCACCAGTACGACGACATCCACTCCAGCTTGCACCAGAAGGTCCAGTCTGTATTTGTCATCGTCCCTGGTGCCGATGGCAGCGCCGCACAAAAGCTGCTTGCGTGAATCTTTTGAGGCTAGGGGGTAGTCTCTGTTCTTCTTCAGATCCGTCCGGGCAATAATGGCCACCAGCTCGTCGTTATCATTAACAATGGGAAGCTTGCCTGGTTTGACAAATTGGGGGGAAAAATATGTTTTTAAAAAATAAATCCAGGTATATTCAGAAATTAAATCAATTGCATAAAACCTTTTATTGACCTTTTTTGCTGCGTTGCAGAATATCATTGGCTTCTTTTAGTGTAACGCCAGCTGGAGCCACCACCAGCTCCTCCCTCTTAGTCATAGCCTGTAACGCAACAGCTTTTTTCAACATTCAACTTAAAGCAGAAAATGGGAAGAAAAAAAAAATCTAACAAAAAAAACATTTAAGATAAAAATAATAAAGGTGTGTTACGCACGTCCTCCAGAGGTTTGCTATGATCCTTCTCAGAGAGGAAGTCAATATCTCTGGAGGTGACGATGCCAACCAGTTTGCTGCCCATTTTTCCCGTCTCTGTAACAGGAATCCCAGAGAAACCATGTCGTACTTTGGCCTGAAAAACGTCGCCGACTGTTTGGCGTGGACTCATTACCACTGGGTCTGTGATAAAACCCTGTTCAAACCTCTGAAAACCAGAAACAAACCACAAGAAGATAACTGATATTATTCAAATAGTTTTAGGGGTTTTTTTCTGAATTAGGCAGCAAAAACACCACAAACCCAAACGCCACACACAGGATTAATACAGCAAATAAAAACAGCAATAGACACACACATAAGAAAAATAACAACAATAAGCAACAAAGTCACACAGGCAAGACAATTACCGTATCCTATATATGGACAAAATGAGACAAAATAAGAAAAGTGCTGTCATAAGAAAATACATCAGCCCCTTAGAATGAAAACATCAGTCTAACTTCAACGTCAACATTTATCTCAACAACAAAAAATACTGGGCAAATACATTTGGAATTCATGCTTTACCTTGACCTTACGGACTTCATTTGCTTGAAATTCCGGAGTGCAGTTGTGATGAATAATTCCAATTCCTCCCATGAGCTGCCAAATTGACAAGACGAGACGTTTCACTTTGAAGTGTGGAAATTTGGGGGCCCAATAATCATCTGAGGTAAAAATGCCTGTGGTTTCTTACCGCCATAGCGATTGCCATGGCTGATTCCGTGACGGTGTCCATGGGGGAGGAGATGAGAGGCGTCTTCAGGGTGATCTTCCTTGTCAGTGCTGATGTCAGGTCCTGAGAGGTAAAAAATAAAATAAACTTTTCTTTTTTTTTTTTAAAGTCAGCAGATTATCCACCAGGGGGCAGAATGCACCAACAGCTACAAGACAGCAGAAAGCATCAAATGAAGGGCAGACAGCGAGGCCACTGTCTGAGGAGTATTGCATTATAAAAGACCTTTAAGAGGGAAAAAAAAAAGAAACTTTCAGTTACACTTATCAACATTTACTTTCACTTATCAAAGATTCCCACCAGAGCTTGCGTGTTTTGCCTTTCTCGGAAAGGTGAGGGAAAATCCTGGCATTTTTGTGCATGGGAAACCGGCATGTTAGATCTACTGGTGCCTCAGAATGACTCGTTATCGGACACAGATGTAAACTGTGGATGCGGCTCGCTGGGTTTCTCAGGGGGTCACTGAGAAGGCATTGGCAGAAGAAAATAGACCCCCTGACTTTGTTGACATTTCAACGCTTTAGGGGTATTTGCGTAACACATTTCTGGTTTGACTATTGCTTTTTAGCCAGTGGAAAAACTGGGGGAAGTCAATGAGAACAAATCCATCAGAAAACAGCTAACTCGTGAAAATACAGGCCGGGCAAGGTACAACTATAAGTCAGCCTCTTATTAACTGGGAGGGATAAACTGAGCAGAGAAGGACTTCAGATATAAACTCATTCACAATAAGAGATGGATGAGCCAATGACCAGACGTGAACACGAGCACAGGGGTGTGGCAGCAACTAGTGGGTGACTGCGTCAAGTACATATAAATAGCATGGCAGCAGAAAAAAGAAAAACTAAGAAAAACTAACTATGCAGACAGGAAATGGAGAAATACACTATTTTTGTTCACAGCTGTAATTATAAAAGGGAGCTGTCTGGAGTCAAGAGGTTTGTCTATGAAATGTAATAAATAGTCTGCACTGTAATATAGTTGAGGGAATAGTCTGTCTGCTGTGTGCGCCACATAGCTCATTTGTCATCCTGAGGGGATGAGACCATGCTGAAGAAAAACCTGGCTTGCAAGAGAGGGAGAAAGTTTCTACTCAGATGTTACACTTAGTTGCAACAGAAGAAGTCCTTTGCCGGCCATTTTGCACTCTCAAATATGACCCTCAGGCATTTGCGTGTACTCACCACTTCATCTGAGGTGAAGTCAATGAAGCCAGGTAAAATCAGGAAGTCACTGAAAGACAAAGAAACAGAAAAGTGAGGGGCTGTTGAGCATGAATTAAACATAAAGAAATAACAAGAGTTAAAATGCAACAGATGGAAATCCTTTCTGAAATGGCAAAGAGGATGAACCTAAAAAAACAAAACAAATAAAGGTGAAAAAGAAGTGTTACTGATGGACGCTCATTTGTGTTCAACATAAAATTACTCTCTGATTGCTGGATGGGAACGACCCGAGGGAGGGGATGTATGGGCCTTTTTCAGACCAAAATACATTTTGATTTTGTTCGCACTGATTTACTTCTTTTTTTTTTTTTTAAACAGACCGCAAAATAATTGTTGCTGAGACGCTTTTCTTGGATTAAATTCTCTAACATATCTGCTCAAAGCTCCCAGAAAATAAAGAGACGCAGTGGCCTTAACACAGATACTGAGTGCAGATGGCCACTGCTGGTACCTGTAGAAAAGCTACAGCTGACCTCTCTCAGCTCTTAGTCTGCGCAAACACACCATGAAGTAGAGGGAGATAAAGGGGGGGCTAGACACAGGAATGGTGTGTTTGTTTTTCTGGCAGAGTCTGTATGTATTTAGTGGTTTTTGCAGATGGGTGTGAAAATAAGAGGTAAGATGGAAAGACACAGAAATAACGAGAGGTTTATAGAAGTTGGTGCTGGAGGAAACTATGCAGTCTGAATAAATCAAAATGACACCCACTGGTGGACACGTAGAGTCTAAACAACAAGATGAGTAAGAATATAGAGGGTTGATTTATAAGTCAATTACTCTATTCTGCTAAGCCTGGGTGGGGACAAAAAGAGTCAGAAATAGATGCACTGGCTGGAACATAAAGAGGTATGTTTAGAGCAGAATCACCCACCATCATGAAGCAAGAGTATACATCTGCCAGTATTTAGCAGCAGCCTCAAACCTCAGTGGCTGCTCTCAGGATAAAGTGACTCAGACTGAGCAGAAGGCTGCAGTCTGCCATGCTGGCTTTCAGTCCTAAGAAAACACTGGCTCACTCATGACCTTATTATGCTTCCAATTTGAATGTTGCATGTAGACAAATGTATTATGCTGAGTAGGGGAGTGTTTCAAAGTTAAACAAAAGGCCACAACAGGTTTTCACTAGATAATTTCAGTCCTAGGCACAAAGGTAATCTGCAGCCGAGCCCAAACACTTAAAAACTTCAGAGCGGCTGTGAGAATAACTTGTGTTCGCAGTGCTCATTCGTTCAAGTTGCCAAAGAAACTAACTGTTTAATCATTCCAAGTTCTGTCTGCTTTCCAATTAATAAACATAACGCCTGAGGTAGTACCTGTGGTTCATGTCGGTCATGATTTAGGAAGGCTGCTTTTGCTGTGTAATTTGATCCTAACTTGGCTATCCACAGGAAGCTGCTCCACGTTGCGTCACTGGCGACGTGGCTTCGCGGCTGTGTGCTTCAATTCAGCATTTAGTTTTGAAGACCAATAATGAAAACGTCTTAAATCAATGTGCTGGTGAACCAATACTTTTAAAGGCCATCACATTGGTGCAAATACAAATCTGGAGGAATGTTTTTACATCTGGTTTTAAAACGGTCACAATACAGAAGAAAGTCACTATGCCAATAAAACAATTTCTGTTTTTTTTTTTTATCTGTGTAGGACTTTTGTTAGCATGACATCTCTACTGATGAAATAAGAGTAAGAAATAAATAAATAATTCACAATTGCATATTTACATTTTTCCCTAAGCAAAAGAAATCTTAAGATGAAATGCTTCCACACTTTGGAGCATTTTTTCTTGATGTGTGAAGTGAAACAGTGAACCAAGGCTGTTTCACAGTTTTCCATCCTGTTCTAAACCAACCGCAGGTCTGACTGTGAGCTTACATGGTTGTTTGTTTTGTCTCTTAGTTGGACTGGTGACCTATCTGGGCTGTGCAACCCCACAGATCCCGAACAACCGAGATAGGATGAAGCGGATCGAGATATGGATGGATTTTCATCCCTTTCCAATAATGCCTATTCAACTCAAACCCTCTGCTACCTCACATGATGTCCGTTGAGGTGGTCACATGCGCAACCTTTGCTTCTGCCGTGATGTACATGATTAAAAACCACGTACACACAGTAAAACACAGGAATGTTTTCTCTTCAATTAGCTACTCTGAAGCAGAAGTTAAGGCTTTTCAGATGAGTAGATGTCCTTTAGAGGCTTTGAAATCATCTTAGTTATTATTGTTAAAAGCAAAGTGAATGAGTGTAATGGCTGTTAAGGTCTGTGGCAAATGTATTTAAGAAGTGATGCACTGGCAAAGTTCTGGGATATTATTTTATGGGTGTTAATGCAATGCCAAAAAAACAAAAAAAACATGCTGCCTAATGCCAGATTACACCATTTGAGTTTTTCATTGCTTTGATTTTTTTATTCACGGTTGTTAAAATAAAAGGGTGGTTATACAGAATATAGGTAAATTATGATGAACCGATTGTTAAAGCATGTGCCATCAGCATGCAAAGAGGAGAGGAGTGTGAGAAATGCATGAGGTGAGAAACTGAGTTTAATCAATACCTTGGTCAAAGTAAAGCAAATGTGAGAAAGGCAAAGGTGTCATGTCATGCACTCATGTCAAGTTGTGCAATTCACAGATTGGTCGAAGTCATGTCCACTGGGAGCAGATTTAGTCCAAAGGCCAGGATCAAGTGTTCAAACACCCCTGATATTAACCTTCTGCATTCATGCACATCAGTCCATGCCAATGACTGGGTTTTACTCATGAGCAAAAAGTTGCTTTAAATTTGATTCCCCTCTTTTTGAATTTGTCATTTGGAGAGACAGAGGATTTTTAATAGTTTGAAGATGACTGGTTTACTCACTTGTAAGTCAACCCATCTCCTTTAGAGCATAGCTCTTCAGCCGTATGACCATCCGAGTCAACACACTGTTGGTCAGATCTGCTGGTTCAAAATGTGTTGGCCATTACAAAGCACTGGTGTGTATACTTCACCCACCATTCCGCAAAAATGAGGTTTAAAAAAAAAAAAAAAAAAAGGACACCTTACTTTGATAGCGTTATCAATCTATGTAGATCTTTGGAAACAAATCAAAGTTGGTAAATTCAAAGAAACTTACTTGTACGTAAGGCCGTCTCCGATTGAGAAGAGCTGCTGTGCTGACAGTCCATCATCAGGGACATAGCCTGTGCCACCACTGATTAAGTAATCCGCCATGCTGCCAAAGAATAAAGAGGTAACAATCAACTGTTCTACCAAAAAACTCTGCCCCAAAAAAAGTTTATTTTCATACTTTGTAGTGATGCCCTGCAAGAACACTAAACATCCGCTTTGTGGTTAGCGCTCAGGACCTTTTCACAATAGGACATAACCATGGCAACATCACATCCCCAATCAGCTTTAGGTCAGTACGCCTGCGTGTTTGCAACTAAATGCATCGCTTGGTCCGTAAATAGCACCGTCATAAAACTTGAAACCTCGCTTTCCACATTTAACAAAAAGTCACTTGAAAATCTTGTTAACTTTCGCTTAAAAGAATACATGAAAAATGTAACAATATATACGCGCAATTGTGCTGAAAAACTTGACTACATTTTCCGTCAACCGCGACGTTAAGCCGGGTGAGAGACAGGAGCACCAACTATCCTCCCTCAGCATGAAAAAAGTACAAATAAATACGAAAAATGACAACAACATCACAAGAAAAGACGGCACAATGGCCTCGTACGAACGGCTGTGAAGCAAAACATGGCCGAGTGACCCACTAACACATAACCGCGCAGCTCAAGCTAACGGTGCCTTCGACTTTCTGAGCCCGGCATTTGAAACGTGGCAATAAAGCTCGTCAAATTAAACACTTCGACGGGCTTTATATACCAAAAAACGTATTGTTTCTCCACTCGAGCAGTAAAAACTTACTCTACTGTTTACCTACCTCATATTATCATAAGCTAACAAAAAGTTAGCTGGTTGAACTGCAAACACGTTTACATATATTCATATGTATAAGACATGTGTCTTTGTTGTTTCCATAGAAGTGCGGAAACGCAGCATCCTCGCCACTGCTGGTTGCAATGTCTATGCTAGCCCCTTGCATCTGTTATATTACAGAAGCACATGTCCTGTTATCTCTTATCGCTGCGTTTTGGGAACCATGATACCACCCGCAAACCAAAAAAAAAATACAAAAACAAATACACTCTTTGTCTCGTTCTTTCTTTCTTTTTTTAGTTACTTTGGCCACTTAGTGGGTTTTAGCAAATGTAATCAAGAGTGATTCGTGGAAACGATGTGGGTAGAACATGTGAATCAACTGAAAACTGGTGAAAACGTGCAGCTTAGACGCTTTAGGCTGCGCGAAACTGAAAACATGATCAATACATAACGTTGTTGACGCGACATATCTCTCGCAACCATATACAAGCCACTGATAAACGCGAAGGAATTCTAATTTGATCATTTTTAAGCAGGCTGTAGCGACAGGCTGTAGCCAGTCTGCTCATCAGCGTTACTTACAAGTAGGAGCAATTTGACATGTGCCTACAAAGCGACTTTCAGTTCAATAAAGCTACTGACTCCAACTACTTTCAAATGGCTGAACATGAATCTTAATCAAGAAATGCTGCACAGTCACAACAACCAAAGGGTTAGCTAGTTCAATCATTAACATGTTTAGCCTAGAGATAATCATGTACGATTATCCATCCAGAGAGCTAAGCACAACGTTATCACCACCTGCTAGCAAAACTTCTAGCACTTGACCCAAAAATCTTCCAAGGGATACATTTAAATAAAAGTTACCGGAGACTTCGTGTTCAATAGGCGAATGCTTAACACAAATATCCTGTTTCATGCACATTTATTTCGGTTATGAGATGAAACTGAGGTATCATTACCATACGGACTGAATGCAAACTTGCCATAAAGCTTACAGGTACTGACAATTAACATCACACTGTTGTCAAGATAATAAAAATGTCACGTATTCATAATAACAATGAACCTGTAACAGACGTCACGGGAGCTGCACGCACTGACTACTTGCAGACATGTGGGAGCAAGGGTTAGCAGTTAGCATTAGCAGCCTGTTTCTCCACTATTAAATGCCCGTGAGACTTTACGGTAGAGTTCCACATTGTTACAGATATGAGGAACCCGTTGGAACTGTGCAACTTCTTCCCCGGAGTAAAATCGGGCATCTCTTCCCCAGTAACGTAAGCTAACAACCGCACAGTGCTGATGCCCACGTTGACTAAATGGAGACAACTTTCCAGCTGTGAGCCTGAACGTAACCGACCGAGAGCTACCAGAGATACACGAATCTCCATTACCTCGTTGGACCAAAAAAAAACAAGATGAATGCACCGGTAGTTTCCGCCTCCAAGACGTGAAAATAGAGGTCTGCTCTGAGGTGAAACGGGGATGATTGCTTGTCGCTTTGAGCACAGTGTTGGTGTTATGTACTGGCAGCGGCGTCACATCCCCTCACTCCCCCAAAGAGGCGAGTTAACCCCCTGCATCCTGCTGGACCAATAGTGGAGCAACAAGCGTTAATGTGCAACACAAAAACCTCCGTTTCAGTTTCTCTGGCATGCTGTCACACTGGTCTACTAGTTCAACTCCTCACAGCCCGCCTGTGATGACAGCAATGACTATCGTTAGCCTCGAGGGAGCTGTAGGCTATGTTTTAAATGATTCCTATTGAATAGAACAAAACATGGATATGTTCTACTTTTCACCCATTTTTACTAACTTCTATTTTTTAGGTGAAATCTAATGCCATGATTTGGATTGTTTGAATGTATTTTGACTGTGATATTTCCAGTGCTGTTTATCTTTTTTTATACAGCATAATGGGGACTGGGGTGGGGTTATGAGCTCAACATAACTGTTTTAATTCATTGCATGATGAACAGCTTCAGTTGTGATCAATCGCTGCTCGAGTTTTTACCAGTTTCAAACATGTCGCTGCAGATGCAGCAAAAGTTAAGTTAAACCTGAAAAACTTGTGTGAATGTAAAAGAGATCCTGCGGCAGAAGGGCATGACCTGCAGAATATCTGTGTCATCAAGCACAAATGCCTCTTTCTATTGCTTCTTCAAATCTGAACTGTCATGCTCAAACTCATTTGTTTCAACCAAGGGAGACATCCTTAAATTAAGCAGCACTCTCTGAATTTCAGTCACATGTAAAAGATCTTAACTGGATTAAATGTACGTAGACTTCACCACCAACCACTACTTTCCACATGATAACACTTTGACAAATTGAACTTAGAAGCAGGAGGCACCATAAGGAACTGGACACCAGCTAATGTTTTAGTTGCCTAACTGTCAGTCCTGAATTGTCATAGCAGTGGGAATGCAAAATCCTTATTGAGATCAAATACATTGTCTTCTTTCCCAACAAGGGCAACCTTATGTAAAATATGTTGTTTGTAAGACACTGTGCAAAAATACTATGAACTTTAGCCATTTCAAAGTGTCTTTTGCGGAAGTAGGAAAAAGTGCACTTGACTCGTCTGCTCTTTATTGACATTATGGCGGGGCAGCTACAGTCTGCCAAGGTGACTGAGGGGGGGTCTCTTTCCCACTCCACATTTGTGTGATATTAAATGTGGGTCATTGCAGATATGGGTCAGTGGTTTCTTTATGTACTGTAGCTATTCTGAGAACTTAATACACCCTTGTTTATCCCCCCCTGCCTCATGCTGTTCTCTCTTTTCTTGATGGGCCATCACAGAACGGTCAGCATGCACCGGGAGCTGAGGGGCCAGGTTATAAATACCACCTTCCAACGTACGATAAGCCATCGTTTAGTGGTACTCATAACCACTCATAAGCCAGGAGTTTCATATGCAAGGCCTTCAGTCTACCCCAACTCTGAGAGCTTTAGTCAAAGCAGTAGATCCGTAAATTGATATTGTGCAAATACGTGGACATGCAAACTGATCAGACAGGAGGGAGTTCATTTACATGTGTAACCTTGTCTGAGAACTGAGCTTTATTGTTTATTTGGATTTTAAACCTAGTGTGATTGCTAGCTTTAATGTTTATGTGATTTATTTTTTGTCTGTTTGTTTACTCCTCAAAAGTGTAATAGATAGCCTTACTGCATCAAATATCCAGTTGGCTTGAAACCTGAAGGAATTGTATGTTTCATGTCCTAGTAACTCACCTCTCTGGGCCAAAACCTGCCTGAATCCGAGTGGCGCTGTATCGCTGGGCGGCAGTTTCATGACCGTACGAGGTTTGCCGGACATAATGCTGTCCTTCTCTGGACGAGACACCGGTACATGATAGCTGAGAGTCCCCCACGTCCCTTCTATAGTCCACCTGCTGGTTCTCGCCTGCTCCATCTTTGAAATGCCCATGTCCAAATCCCTCCATCGACTCTGAAGCCAGTGGCCTTCAGTCGTGTAGTGCAGCCAGATGGGTCTTCAGACTAAGTTTACAAAATAGCTAAAGATATCCAAACGCTGAAGGTTACCTCAGGGGGAAAAAAACACAGAGACTGACTTCTTGAAAGCTTAAACCAGTGTGAAAGTCATAACTTATGCTTCGTAATAGTCAGGGAGTTCACGATTTGCAAAACAAATGTAAACTCTGCCTTTGTTTTCAAAGCTTCTCTGAACAGCAGCGTGTGCTCTATTTACTCTGCTGCTGCTTTCAAAACTAGTCGTGAGCCTGTTAGAACACAAAAAGCCGCGTCTGCCGACGTCTTCAGCCCTAGTGCAGGATGCACCTGCAGCAGGGAAGGCTCCAGCCACCTTAAGGCGTAGCTACAGAGGGCGTCACCTAGGAGACTCTCCCTCTGAGAGGGTGTCACCGTGGCAATGATGTCAGCAGCACGGTGTTGTTGTGGAGAAGTTGCTGTGCTGATGCCTCTGAAATCCTGGAGGAAATGTTTTTTGCGAAACGCTCACATTGCCCAGAGCACTGATAGGGATTGAATAGAGTGAGTGGTACAGTCCTGCACTCAGCTGAGTGCACCACCAAGCTCTTTTTATGTCATGCTCCCTTTCAACGCATGGGTTAATCCTGGTTTCTGTCAGTGGCACCATGTCATTTGCACAAAGAGGATTTCAGTATTAGAACAAACTGCATGAGAGCGTGCAAGCTCTGCAAAGAGAGCAGCAGACATTTACAGACTCAACAGCAACATCATCTCCGTGTTTGTTGGTGTCGGCGAGCACGCATCCGTCTGTGCTTTGACACTGCAGGAAAAATGTTGCATCACAGTGTGAGTGTGGCACAAGCCCTCTAAATGGTTTTCTAAATGGTTTTGTTCACAAAAAATTATGTACCATGTAACTGCAAATATTTTCACCTTGTCTAGTTGAGTTAGTTCAGAGGAGAGTGAAGCTCAACTTTTTTTTTGTGTCTGAAAAGGAAATTTTTTTGGAGAGTGCCACTTTAAAAAAAAAAAAGGATACCCCTCCACACACACACACACACACACACACACACACATAAACATACACACACACACAGCTAAGCAGTCACTCATCTCAAATGGATCACCTCCATGTAAAAGATTATTTGTGACAGTTGGTGTGAGGCTAAAACAGAAAATCCTCTTAGCTCGTCCTCGAGGCTCAAGGAAATTCCTCACTTACAACTCACCATCTTTAAAACGTGGTCACAGAAACCCTTTTACCCCAACCATTGCAGATCAGGAAACTAATGGACCTAGATATCCTACACCTCCATCAGATACAAAGATCACCAGCGCTGTTTGACTTTAAGCCACAACATTAAAGGCTTGCTGTCACATGCAGGGAGACCTTCTGTTAATTCTACATGTGCATGTCCTCAGGCCTTTCCTTTCCATTCAATTACATTTATTCTAATGAACGTCATGTGCACAGCGTGGATTTTAATAGCTTAGACAAATCTAAGTCATAAGATTGAGTGATTTAACACACGAGTAACTATTCTCTACAAGACAGGCCTCCTTGTGTGGTTCATGGTGTGCGAGCAAATGGCCCCTGAAGATTTAACCTCAGATGTCCTGAATTGATTTCACAGACAAATCTGACAAAGTATGGGCATTTTTTGTTTTTTATTAACATTCAATAAACCAAAATAAATATGCTTTCCTTCCCAGATTTTCATGTTTTAAAACAGTTGTTTAATTCTCTCTTTAATAAAAAAATAAGTTTCGTGATTTGCTACGGTTTCACTTTATCTTTTTAATTTTGTTAAACGTCACATTGATGTTACAGTGATATTAAACATCACTGTAACTTTGTGGCATACACACTAACAGATTTTTTTACTACATCATATCAATCAAATAAAGTGTTGTAATGTGTAATTTATCTAGAAAAAATTAAAAACATCGGAGAGACAATATGACACAAATTACTCTTATAGGTAATAAAAAACACACACAAAAAGGAACACAGGAGGAAGTCCAAAAACGACCAAAATATGACCCTGAAGAAAAGACAGAAGTAGAAGTTGTGCAATTATGCAGTATTTTGTGAAATCAACACAGTTCAGAATATCCAATACATTCAAATCCTCAAGCTCCACTAAAAAATCTGAAGGGACTGTGACATGTTGTCTTTGTATTCTGGGATCATGGAGACAGCTTTCTAAACTGGCAGCGCAATACATCACAATTCAAATCAACACCTGTAAAGCACAGAGTTGAGAAAAAATGGATTTCAAAGTGAGTATAGCAGCTAGAGGAGAAGGAAATTGAATTCTAAAGAGTGACGTGATGAAAAAATGAGCTGATACATGATGAGACTAACAGAGGACTTAAAACCCTAAACACAGAGACTGGAAATTTCCGGATATTTTTAAATGGATAAAAAGGTTAAGGGTGTGGCTGTTTGATCAAATTGTTAAATAATTAAGCAAGATGACTTTCAAGAACATCCTGAAGTCTGAAAGCACTTTTGTCTGAAATGATAAAGTGCCTCCATCTAGTGGAAGACATCTGAAACTGTTTTAAACAGCAATACAATTTTACAACATTTTTCAATTACTCTTTATAAATGTACCAGATATCTGTTATTGTTATTTTTGCAGAGCATAAACGAGGATATTGTTATAATATCTGTGAAATACTATACACTCTTACTAATATATTATATGGGGTTACCTTTAGACCTTAGCTTTTGTCTGAGTGAATCATAGTCTACTATTTATAAACCATTAGCTGGAGTTTGTGCCAAACAGTTTTGGAGTTTCCTCAGATTCACACCCTGGCGTTTTGTCTCTATCATACTTTTTCTTTTTGCTGAGTATGACAAACTTTCATTATATGTAGCAATAAAGTTATTAGAGACATGAGCAAATCTAAAGGAATATGATCATTATTCTGCCTGAGATACAGCTGTTTTGTGATAAGGCTGGCAGTGAGATGAAAAACAGGAAGTCTGAACCATAGAACAGTAATCTGAATCACTGGCTGGCTTCCATTTTTTTTCTCAGGAAGAAAAAAGAAACTTCTGGTTGTTTGTGAGAAACAAAGGAGGAACATCTTATGGTCCCACACACTAAAATCCTTGGTTTAAAATCTGACCTACCCAGATACTGCAATCAAAACTCATATTTACATATAGCTGCTTGGTTTGTTCTATTTCTCATGAACATTTGTGTATTTCACTTCCAAAAGAAATATAGGTCATAGAGAATTTGAAATGACAAATAATCTTGTGAAGGGACGTGAAGCTTGAGCATTTTATTTTTTACATTCTAAGTTAATTGAGAAATGGGAGGACATTTGGTGACTGGAGACCTCTTAAAAAACCCTATCTCACTATTTAAAACTCATCTAAAGTTAATTCTTGCATTCTTTCACACATACAGATATTCACCCGGGACATCATGAATCCCTCTTTTGTCCATACACTGTCTACTCCTGTGAAACCAGTCCAGATGGTTTTTGAGTAATCCAGCTGACGGAGAAACAAAGCAGTTTCTTGCATTGTAAACATAACCTCCACATACCTAAATCACACCAAGCCTTCAGAACTAGTTTTGTTTGACTAATGCAAATCCAACGGCCACCTATTTGATCCACTGGCTTTAACAGTGTGCATTCTACAAGTGGCTTGCGCAACTCTGGATTTTCAAGAAGAGGAAATCATGGGGCTTGATTCTCCCAGTCATCTGCACCAGTGTGGCTCATCTGGTGCAGTTCACTCGACTTTGGCATGTAGTTCACAGACTTACTGCTGTAAAAGCTGACTGTATCAAATGATCATTCGAAGGGTAGACAGTAACAAGCCCTTATCTCGTAAAAGATAACATTGTTCTGCAGGTAAGTTCAAATACACACAAACCAATGAAAACACTACAACAACCTAGATACTTTTTTTCTTTTTAGCCTTGCTCATACTCCTGAAAAGGAGTCTTTTTAGGTTGAAGTGATAAGTAGAACTATCCTGGAAATGGAATGATTTCCTGCTAAGCCTGACTAAGCCTGTCAAAGACTCAATATAACTCTTACATATTCATTCTTGCTGTGTGAGTCAGTCAGAGCACGCAGTAAAACATATTTCATCCCTTAAAGGTTGATCCAATAGGTTTGGACGTCACTATGTTTTGGCAAGATGTCAATAAAGAAGGAAAAACATGGGTTCTATTATTATTCATTCAAGCAACCATCCAAGTTTATCTCATTAACGTTTCCTTCACCAAAAATAAAAACATTAAATCTGTATGTTTTATGAAAAAACAGGGACTTATGACACCTAAAAAAATACTTGAAAGCAAAAAAATGTAAAGAAGGTTGAGACCATGCCCCAGCAGTTTGAACAGCAGAGGTCAGTCTGAACTACAACACAGATTGAATAGCAGAATATAATTTTTCACATTTCACATCATACAACTTCTTTTACCTGTGGTTAGTGTGGTTTGCATTGATGTTTCCTCTTAAGAAGCAAAACAAGCGATCATTTGCATTATATGTCATGCATTCTTATTCCAAACTGAAACTTGATTTATGACATGTGTTGTAGTAGCCAGAATATAATTTTGGTGGTTAAAATGAGTCTTGTGAGGACGGATGTGACCCGGTATCCCACGCATAATACTGACTGGGCCCTTGTCTAGTCAGCCAACCCCTCACACTCCTTAAATCAATAAAATCCCTTAAGGCAAAGTGTGGGTCAAGGAAATGAAGGTGTGGACTACATATTCACCACATTCTCAGCTGTATGAGTCATGTTGGAACATGTCTGAATTAAAAAAATTTAAGATTTAGATATCAGTGTGTGTTAAGTATCAATGTGACATCCGACTTGGATGCATTTACATCAATTTATGGAAATCTGAGACAAAAATAACTGCATAATGCTTCAAGTTGTAATTAGATATTGTCAGGAGAAGAGCAAGAGTGGGGTAAGCTCGGGAGCTCAATTTGAAGGTTGGAATGAAAAATGTACATTGTTTTTATCACCAGGGCCTCAAATGCTGAGGTTTGTTAGTACTTGTGAAGAAGAAGTCCTCCAGTGTCTACATTGGGGCAGTGGAAACTGGGCACATAACCAGCACACAGAGCTCCACCAGTGAGTGGCTGGCTGGTTTAAAAGGGCATGCTGACAGCAGCCAGGCATCCCAGCAAACTATCACAAAGTCAGCAAAATAAGATAAAATATGTCTTAATGTAGCATTTTCTCAAGGATTTCTCTCTGTATAAATCCGTCCTCGATCGATGCGTAAATCCCCCGTGGCGTGGAAAAACCCAGACGTTCTCAGGAAGTAACCGCGTGATGTCATCTTTACGCATGGCACGAGGTCGAGCAAAAGCAACCAGGAGGAGAAAGCAGCCAGCCAGCTGTGTTTGGCAGCAGTCAGTGTCGGCGAGCGAGACGACCAGGAAGCGAGAAAGCGATGCGACGAACACAAACCACTTTCTTCGAGGCAGATGAAAGTGCTGCGTGTTGCTAGCTAACCTCCACGGCCACGAGAGGACTTTAAAGGGGGAAAAGACACGGGAAGAATCCGCCATCGATCTCCAGAGCCTCTGGTAAGTGCCAAATAATACGTGTTCTGCTTTTTCATCGGTGGCCAACAGCTGGGAAACAATCCCAGGTCGCACGCTGGTTGCTTGTTTTAACGTTTCTAAACTCGTGCGGTGTCCTAACTTGCTCTTTTTTTCTGCTAAAGAACAGCGTTTGAGTGGATTTAAGTAAAGCAAAAGTCTGAAAAAATTGAAAACTTTCATATGTTGACATTTAAGTTAAAAACTGATAGCCTATATAAAACTACTCGTTAGATTTGGATGAGTGTTTTGGGGTGAATTGGACATTTCCATCAGGTTGTGAACGCATCTTAACAGCATGATTCTCACACAAATCGACTTCCTTCCTTCTGTATCTAAAATATAGTTTTCCCTTTTATTCTCCTTCCCATCACCTTGTACCTGAATCTAGTTTGCACTGCAATCCAATTGGTATTGATGTTAAACTAATAGTAATTCAGTTTATTAAAATGAACATTTACTTGACACTGCTTGTAAAAACAAATCAACCGATGTCTTTTTAAAAGTGTTTTGTTTTTTATTGTTCTTGCAGGCAACTCTTCTTGAGAATTATGGTGGCAGCAGTACTGAAGCTGTATGCCATTGGGACGGCATTTTCTGTCCTGGCCTTCATTTATGGACTGGTGGACTCTTTTGGGGGCCTCATGTACAGCCCGGACCATCACTACATTTATGAACTGGAACACCAGATGCACCGGCAGCTCCACCACGGCCGAAGACTATCTGTTACTAAAAACATTGGCTCGTAAGGGAATTTCAATGCCTCCCTTGGACTTTTCTCAACCTCTGAAAGGAAACTGACTTTGTACTGAAAGCAGACTCACTGATGGTTCTGCTCGGTTCCAACTGCTGTCAAACATTATAGCAGCTCATTTCTACCACTTACATCTACCATTTTTGAAAAAATGTCACTGCACTACTGAGAAAAATTTGCACTAAAGTTTTGTTTCTGTATTTTTCTTTAATAAATTGTGTGTTTTGGTTTTTCAAATATTTGTATGAGTGCTCATTTAATCAGGCCTGAGCCACGGGTCATACGTTTCTTCAGATACTTGAGTGTACCAGGAATGTAATGGAAAAAACCATTCTGGCAACAATTCAGGGACTGAAAAATAAGAGAGAGATTAGCAAACCTTGAACAGGTCCTAACAAAGTCTCAATAGCTCCTCAGTAGCTTGAGGACAAAAAACACAGGAAAAAGGTTGGAGGGGCAATTGTGAAATGGGATCCGTAAAAGATTTATATCTGTACAATCAGAGTAAAATAATTGGATAATTGTTTAGTGGGAGAAGGTACTCAAAACATGTTACCAGAAAATGTGTGGATCTTTTCATAGATTTCCTTTGCTCTTATTTGATATTATATTGTTCTCATAAATCTAAAGGACTAAAGACAGGGGACACTCGGTTACCAACAGGTCAATATAGGACAGAATTGGACACTTGTACATTTTCTCATTTAACCACAAAAAAAGTTGTGAACCTGTTTTTATGTCTTTTGCGAAGTGTTGTTTTTTTATTATTAAACTCTGTGTCCTTACATACACCCACATTGACGAAGCCCATTCATTTAAAGGTGACTCCCATCCATGTCTTCACGTTATGACCATGCATGTCTCATGAAGTTCTTCCTAATTATTCGACAAATGTGTACTTGATTTTACTGTTTCTCAATTTCAAATGTTTTTCCTCAGTCAAAAGACACTGAGCCAGAACGACTCCTGACTTTTCTATTATTATTCTTTGTCAACATCTGGTTAAAGACGCACATCAACTAGGCTGGTTTTTCACTTACAGTTGTGAAGGAAATGTATACATCAACGTATCAAATAAAGCAATAGATTTAATATCAATCTTAAAATAGTAATACAGGTTTAGTATATTTTTTAATAACTAAGACATGGTTACGAATTGGGTTTATGTGTAAATTAATTAATACTATTAATTAATACCAATTACTGTTAGTAACTAATTACTGTTAGTAACCAAAACACGTCAGAATTAGGCCATATAGCCCAATTTAGACATTTATTTGACACATCAGAATTACAGTTAAGTACATAAAGTCTGCGTAAAGATGGATTATGTTTATACTATATATTAATTCACATTATGCCTCTGGAGTTCCGCATCAGCCATTGGGTGTAAAAAAAAAACGTTCCAGAGCTGCGTCAAACACTTGTTCAAGTCTTTACTTGCACGTAACTCAGAAATCATCGTGTGACACTGCGTAAAAAAGCCCCGCGAGGCACGGACGTTTATCCAAGTGGAAACATCAGACGTGCAGGCCGGGCAGCCTCTTGAGATGTCTATAAAACTACTGATGCACTATTATTTTCCACTGATGCTTCATTCTGCTTAAACTTGAAATTAATCAGAGTTTTCAAAAGGGACGCTTTCTCTCCTCAGAGATTCCCATATTTTGGGCTGCTGACGACAGCATATAAAGCAATCTCCAACAAATCAGACGGTCTGCTCGTTCTTCGTTTAGTTGTATTCATATCAGCTCCGGAGATGTTAATCCTCCCTGTAGCGAGGTCACCTGGATGCGGGTGAGCACCTGCTGACGGTGGAAGCGCTCCTTCAGCCAGCACTTTTTATGTTAATGACCCGTGCAAGCACTTCCTACCCCCACTTGCTTCCATTGCGCACCACTTCAGGAGCCAGAGTCGACGGTCATCTAACCTGCTGGTGCGCACACAGTTCATTCACGCGCTATAAGAAATGATTTGGAGTCTCTTGGTCCTTTGTGGGATGTGCGTCCTCCCCACTTTTCTTCTGGGTGCTGCAAGCAGCAGCCGTTTGGGCAAAAGTGTGGCTTTCCATCGGACTTGGTGGAGCAGGGGCCGGGGGCGCACGCGCCCCAGCAGAGACACGAGCGGAGCCTCCGGCCCCTCCAGCCTTCCTCACGGTCCTGCCTTCAGCTCCTGTCGGATTCCGCTCACTCCAGCCGAGCACAGGGTGCTGGATGACAATACTCACGAGGTAAGGTGTATTAGTTATGGTCAAAAAAATTTTAAAGATGAAAAATAGGAGCTGTCCATTGTTCAACAAAACTACGTCATCTTGTAGTTGTCCATTTATTAAATGTGAAACCACCCAGAAGGATTTATCGTCATGATTCAAAATTTATTTTCTGCACTGCTTAAAGTTTCATATCAAAGTACATATTTGTATTATATCAAAGCTTTTTGTTTGTTACCAAATCTGTCATGACCTAATCATTTGTATCATGTTTGTTGGAATGATTCTGATTTTGAAAGTGTTTTCAAACCAGCTGTGTGGAGTAAACATATTTTTTGTTGTCTTTTTTCCTAAAAAATAAATGGGACATATTTCCCATATGTATGAGCCTTTCTCCAAACATTTTCTCCCAGACAGGCTTCAATGGTGATGATGGCTCCTATGTGATTCTCACATGGGTGGGCGATGGTACAGGAGTGAGTATTTTTGAAGTTCTGTAAAGGCATCATTTTGAGCATCATGTTTTAAAAAGTTCGCTAATTTAATATTTTACGTAGTTTGAAATTCCGGCGGAAATAACAGATCAGCATGCATTGCTATGAATCATGTGGGAAGGTAATTTTGCTCTTAAAGTCTGACTCATGTTGCCGTATTTCTAGGTGATCCTGGTACTGTCAACAATCAGTGTTCCTCTTGACTCTTTTCTGGAAGGGTCCTCACGACTGTATCGAAGGTAAGCCAGCAGCCACCCCTCACATTCGGCCACCTCTGCACTGAACTCAGTCAGAAATGGTTTCTTTTTGCTCATCAGCACGGATTATGGCAAGTCTTTCCATGACATCTCCCACCGCATTAACCACACCTTCATCAAGGAGGAGTTTGGAGTCAGCGTTGGACCCGGGAGCTCAGTAAGTTAGCATTTATTGTTTTTATCAAAGTTACCCTCATGCTGGGGACTGTTGTGAGAACCCTACAGGCCTCCATCATCTTTGTAAATTACTGATATTACCAGAGGATTGGGAAGTGGTGTACAAACCTATAGGTTTTTGAAGGGGTTGATTTGAAACGTTTGTGACACCAGGTTTGTGGTGTGAGTGCAGTTCAAGTTGCCTAACTGTGCTTCGTGTGGTTGAAGAGGTTGCCACACGGAGCTATGAAGACATCTTGCATGCTGTCTAATCGACTCTAAACACTTCTTCTCTGCTACCACACAGAGGTATTTTACAACGATGACTGCATATTAAAGGGTTGACTTTGCTGATCAAAGAGGAGGAGCTGTGCACACATCTTTTGAAAAAATATGGGGAAAACAAAAACTGTTGAAAGTCTTGTATGCAAATCTTTCCTCTCGGCTGCTTTTTGACATGCAGTTTTTTTTTCATCCATTCTACCAATCTTCTGGCTGACCTCCATCCTCGCCTTATTTTGATTACAGGTGATACTGACTGCAGACACACCTGTACTCGACAATCCAGGCGGGATCATCTTCACCTCCACAGATGCTGGTGCAACCTTCAAGTTCACCCAGTTGCCCTTTCACCTGGTTCAGCCAATCACGTACCACTTCCTCAACCCTGACTACCTTGTGGCCCTCAGCATTGATGTGAGTCTTTTCATTTTTTGGCTCCTGGCCCGTGTTTCCCCCAGATATTTATCTGTGGTTCCCCTCGCCTAGCTTAATAGCACTCGGCTGACACACAAACACACTATCGCTCGTGCACGGCGCGCACATCCAGAGCACACCTTAAAGCAAAGGCAAACATTCCTCTGTTTCCTGACTTGCAGGGCGGTCTTTGGCTGTCTCTGGACTTTGGTGCTAAGTGGACAAAAGTGCATGATGGAGTGCATTCCTTCTCATGGTGAGAATAAACATGCGCAGAATTAATCATATTGGTTTGCTACAAAAGAAAAATACCTGAATATCATCACACTCCAAGCATGTGGCAATTTGTTTTGAACAAATGTAGAATGTATAGTATTATTGTATAGATGTTTATTGGGCTCTTTATATAAAAAAACAAAAAGAAAAATCAGTCATTGCAGGAAGAGCGTTGTGACCGTTTTCTAGTGTTTTTGCATTTTTTTTAATGTCATTTTTTTTACTTCTTCTTTCCATTAGGGGGGCAGGCATCAACTTGTTCTTCAGTTGCAGCCCAGTAGACACGGGTGAGAAACTACTACCAAGTTACCTTAAAACAATCAAAAAGCAGAAACTATTCTACAAAAGCACTTAAACTAACTTAAAAAATGGGCAAAGCATTTCATGTATATGCAACAGGTGGCACATCCTGAACAACAAAGGAACAAAGGTTACATTTTCATATACCGAAAACATACTTTTGACCATAAACTACTGGATACTCTTCAACATCAATCTTTTTGGATTGAGTAAGACGCTAAAACACTTTGATGTGATTGATTCATAGTTTGACTATTTTGTCTGATTTATTTTACAGTTATTTGCAAGTGTTTGAAGTTCATTTTCTAGATAGTGTAATTTTTCATAAGTAAAAGTGCTTCATAAACTCTAAAATGTGAATATACTCAAAATACAATCAAGTATTTCATTTTTTATCAGGGGAAGCAAGATATATCGACAGGGAAGTGACAGAAAAGAAAATAAGTTAATTATCCTGCACAAGGATTGGAATAAAAAATTAATAAATAAAATAGCAATGAATGCCAGAGTGTTAACATCAACTTTAACTCTCTTTTTTTATTTCTTTCTCCATCATTTGCTGACAAAATGACAAAACACTTCTGAAAAAAGAGCTCCAACTATGGCAAAAGTGGAAGTAAAATATGTTCAGACAACTTAATTTGCACATTGTTATTTTTATTATTTATTTTTTGTTACATTAGTTGACGCAGATGACAGTAGAGACTTACTGCTGAAGAGGACCAAAGATCTGGGTAAAACCTTCACTACCATTCATGAGGACATTTACAGTTTTGGATACATCGGGGCTTTTCTCTTCTTCTCAGTGATGGAGGACTCGGTAAGATTGGTTGTCCAAAATAATGGCATATAAATATCACAATATTTACCCCATTCAGATTATCTTTTGTCTGTTTGCTTGCAGAGGTCTCCTCGTGTCATGTATTTCTCATCGGACCAAGGAGATACTTTCAGTAGAGCTGTACTTCCATCCGCATCCACCGAACAGGTGAATTATTGTAGTTTTTTGTTGGTTGAGACAGCAGCAATGAGCTCACAAGTTAAGGTCAAACTAAATGTACAGTGCATAAACCCTGGAAATGTGTCTTACCCCAGAACTGGGCTCAATTCGGAATTAGCTGCTTTTGTTACTGAGCTAAAGTTAAGACACACTTACAAAACTTCCACTTACAGAACCAAGCACCAAATGGTGTTTTTTTCTGCTTCTCCTTTTTCTGTTTGTGGGTGAACGTGCTTCCTGAGCTACAGCCACCACAGCATTATGGGATGGGGCTCAGCTTTTTGATCTCCCATGTTGGTTTTAATATTGTAGAATGCAGCCTATTATGAAATCTCCAACATTTGGAAGTCATGGAAAATGATGTGATGAGATGAGTTTGTCTGTAATGTGGAAAGGTTCCTGGGACTACCCACTATGGCAATCTTTTTCAATCGTGGACAGTTCTCTTTTCACCAGTGTGCACCGAACTGACAATTCTGTTACTGCTTTCTGTCTGATAGATTTATTTACTTCTCACAAGACATCTTGGACACAAATGAAAAGACCTATAAAGAAGCCATAGATATTAAACCCTTCTAATAGTTCGGACCACTGTTCTTAGAAACATGTTTAGAGAGGTTGGGACATGATATTCAGTTTAAGTGGAAAACACGAGAGGCACCATTTCCCATTTCAACATTAACTGAAGAACTGAACACATACCTGATGTGGCAAAACATTCCCACACATCTTGTTGACATGGCAAACACACACTTTGTCCTGGCAATTTGACAAAGTTTATGGTCAGGATTAAATTAGTCATCAAAACAAGATTTTTTCTCTCCAGATTCCCCCTTTGGGACCCACATGTGCCCTCTCCCTTTAATATCTCTTTACGTTTGCAGTTTTACTCCATCCTGGACGGAGACGAGGATATGCTTTTCATGCATGTGGACAACCCGGGAGGTAACAACACGCACACACTCACATTTTTTTTTCCATTCAGGAGGCATAGAACACACTTATGAAATCTCAACAAAGCACATTTGCAAATAAGCCGTTGCAACGTGACAATTTCCAGCTCTCTCAGCCCCTTTTTGTTGTAATGGAAAAGCTCAAAAGGACAAACAGGTTTCACAAGTTCTGGGAGTTGCTGAATAATCACATCACTGGATACACATTTGAGCATTCAATTCAAGCACCCAGTCTTTGTTCCTCTCCTTTTCCATTTCCTTTTCTTTACCTCCACCTTACATACTTTCTGTTTCCACATTCTTTTCGGAAGATTCTGATATATTTCTAACTCTTGTTTTCCTCCTGGTATGTGCTTTGGTTTGTGCTACCTGGGCAGTTGTTGAGCCTTTTACTTGCAGAGATAAATAGGGGAGATATGGGGCAGAGGGGCTTTATCTTTTGTTGGCTGAAGCCAGGAAGATTTAAGTTTCACTGCTAAAGCTGACAATTATATCTTTAGATCAGGGTGTGACACAAACACATGCAGACGCACACACATACACACACACACACAGAATCACTGTGTCAGTGACTCATTGTCTGTCCTTCATGCCTTTATTTTATGTGTGCGAAGCACACACACGTTTTGGCTTCACACACAAAAAATATGATTAATGATGACTTGATGGTGAGGCTGAGAGTTTGAAATTGATACAGCATCACTTGTTCTCAGCTATTTGTTGTCTTTGTTATTATAGGGGTGTGTGAATTAAATACCAAAAGCTGTTTAGTGAGAAGAATTGGATTTGATTTTGATAGAAAATCAATGGCATCAAACATTTCTTTAAATCGGTATAAACATCCTACCCCAGCTATTAGCTATCCTCTGAGAACATGTCTGTTTAGCTCTCTAACAGCTTTAAAATGATTACGAGTATAATTAGACATCTGATACATGAATATTTCGTTCCGGCCTTGACCACATCACTACCTACCATCTACTAACACCAGCCATAGAGGTCTCTGCCGAGCAGTTCTAAGAACACATCTCCACACCCTGTGTTATGAGATTGTATTTACAAATTGCTGTGAAATGGAAGAATAAAATAGAGAGAAAGAAATTTGGCTATTTTTAAGGCCCAAAGAAATATTAGCTAAAGAATTATGCAAGGCTGTATGCACATGGAAATATCATACTAACAGTGTATTTCCAAATCCCATTTTTAAAATGGATCCCCACCTTTAGTAAATGAAAAACCTAAAAAAAAAAAAACTATGACATTTGACTTTTGTCTTTACATGTTTACTATATATGTGACTATCAAGAGAAATTTCTAACAATGCAGCAGATAGTTTTATTACACAATCTTTGTATGTTTTGTCATGTAATCTTCCCATCCCAGCTGATTTGCACAGACCACCCACACACTTCACAGATTAAGTGTTACAGTGTCTGGGTTTTGTTCATAGATACCTTCTTTGGGACCATGTACACTTCTGATGACCGTGGAATCTTGTTCTCCAAGTCGTTAGAGCGCCACCTGTTTGACGGGCAGAGGAAGAGTGACTTCACCAACATTACGTCGCTGAGAGGAGTTTACCTCACTAATAAACTAGATGTGGGTACGTTTCTCAGCCATTTAGGTCTTCATTCTTCTTTGCATGCAAAGATCATCGAAAGGTCTCTTTGAGCTTGTTCTTGCTTAAATCTCACAAGGAACTTTTTGGTTTAATATGGGTCCTAACGTTCTAAAATGCAGATTTCTATGTCAAGGTAAACTTGTTGTGTTTTTAGTGAGCATTGTATAGAATGTTGAAGTAGGAAAAAAGGAGTTTGGAATTTATTTCACATGTCTTGCTTTATTTTTTACCAAAATCCCAAAAGATGGCAATTACTAATACCGATTAAGTTAATGTACTGGAAAGAAAAATACAAAAAACTAAAAAAACATAGAAAGACATCCTTTGACAAATATAAAGCAAAAAATCACATAAGACATAAGATTCACCTTCACTCCAATTTAATGTGTCATAGATACCGCTTTACCAGAATGGGAAACATGACCGATTGAATTTCATGTGATACTTTTCAGATGCCACATTATGACTGCAGTGTTATATTGTGCCCTTGTCATACAGCTCCATAAACGCCTTGAAAGAATACACTATTTATGACCTGAGTGCTTTGTGTTGTTGCAGATGGTCGTATAAGATCTGTTATATCCTTCAACAGAGGAGGGACGTGGAGACAACTGGAAAAGCCTGAGAATGTGGATTGTGGGGACCATGTGAAAAGTGTATGCTTAATAAGAAAATTCTTCAAATGTGGCTCTTGCATTTGTAACTTTATAATCCTTCAAGTTACTCAAAAATGGGTATGTGTTTTTATTATTTTCTAGTGCAAACTTCATATTCATGGAGAACACAGTCGCAGGAACCAAATAGTGCCCATGCTGGCTCTGTCGGAGCCCACTGCCATTGGGCTCGTTATTGCTCACGGTAATTTAAGATAAATCTTTCCGTATCAACCTTCAAACAAAAGGCTTTCTTCCTCATGTATTTTGGGATGTTCGTTATGTAACATGTGATATAATGGAGCAATGATGTCCTGTTCTCACCAGGCACTGTGGGCGATTCTCTGTCATCGTCGCAGCACCCAGATGTGTTTGTTTCCTCAGATGGGGGGTATAACTGGAGGGGCACTCTAAGGGGCACTCACCACTACAGCATTTTGAACTCTGGGGGTCTCATTGTAGCTGTGGAGTCTCATCATGAAGGCCAAGTCAAGACTATCAAGTACTCAAAAGATACAAACCCCATTTTAAAACAATGCCATTCTTTGTGTAATGTAAATGATGTGTTAATCTCACATTCCCTACATTTTATTCTCAAAAGAGACAAATACAGAGTTGAAATTTTAGAGTTTAACTGCAAATATTTGCTCAGTTTTTAAAAAAATGTGTTAATTTTGATGGCTACAGCACATACTGCTGAGGAGATAAATTGAGGGACCTGCTTTCCTATTCTTAGCCGATAAAGGAATCTGTTCATGCTGATCAGCGTATCTGGGTCTTCTTTTCTTTCTTCATTGTTTCCTACATTGTGATTCTTGGGATTCAACATATGTTTTCCACTTGTGAAAGGTTTCAACCACAGGAAATCCACTCCCACTCACAAACGCTTCTCTTACTGTTATTACCGCTCGCTAAGATATGCAAAGCTTCCACTGAAAAGGAACAATCTGGATTGTAACAAATAATGCCTGATGATACTCCTCCTCACTGGTTCAGAGGATGTAGCACCCACGATTTCCAAAAAGAATTTTAGAATGTAATTCATGGGACCACAGAATGATTAAAATGACCTATTCACATTTAAATGTGCCCTGACCCAGAAACGATGTCTTTGGGTCAGGGCATCATTACATGTGGCTTCTTCTTGATAGAGCTTTAACTTGCATTTGTGGATGTCAAACTTAATTATATTGCATTGTGTTCCCGAGCCGGGAGATCATGGGCATCAGGTATCGATTTTTAGCCTTGCACATATTCACCTCTTGTAATCCTCACCTGGTAGAATCTGCTTCTTCAAGGTTCTCCTCTATCACCACTCATTATACTAACCTGCCTTTGTCTAGCATTTCCTCCCCAGTTTTCCTCTTACTGTTGCTTCCTCTCCAACTTTTGGGAAATGTTGTTGCTATCACTGAGCTCAACAAATCAGATCAAGATCATATCAAGACTCTTTTTTCCGCTTCTTTTTTCTTTTTCTTTTTTTTACATTTTACACAGCATCCTAGCCATTTTGAGATTAAAGCAATACTTTTCACCACAAGCCCAATAAAGTGAATGTAATTTCTGGCCGTCAGATGTAAAATAGTTCTATGATTTAAGTTAATTCAGTCTTTCGCGTTTTTCTCAGATTTTCCACGGATGAAGGCCAGTGCTGGAAGTCGTATAACTTCACTGAGCAGCCTTTCTTCTTCGCAGGCCTGGCATCAGAGCCAGGCACCAAGGCCATGAATGTCAGTGTGTGGGGCTTTCGTCCCGAAGAGGACGGCCAGCCCATGTGGGTGGCAGTCACCATTGACTTCCAGAGCCTCATAACCAAAGAATGTAAGTCAAGAAAAAACTCAAGTCTCCTATCACCAGATCACTCTATGTACATTCTTGTCCTGACTTGATGTCTGCTTGTTGGGCCTTCTGGCACAGGCTGATAAGTGCGTCAGTGTTTTGCCCTGTGACGTGGAGTCTTGGAAAAAGAAAAACTTAGTGTAAACTTTTCCCAAACAAATTCATAGCTTTTTTCTTTAATATTAGTTCTTGATTTGTCCTTGGTCAGATGTTATTCTAGAAGTTTTAAGTTTAATTAAACTATCCAGACAGCATTCTACTTTGAGGACATCAAGTCAAATTACACAAAGTTTTTGCATTTTCTTTGGGCCCCTTTTTTGTTATGGCAAAGTTGTGAATGACAGGTAATGGTCGAATCCATCAGGTAAAAGCCAGGACTATGAGGAGTGGTTGGCTCATTCCACAGAGGGAAACGACTCAGAGAGAAATGGCTGTGTCCTGGGCATAAAGGAGACATATAGGAGGCTAAAGAAGGAGTCCGTGTGCAGAAATGGGCGAAACTTTGTGGTGAGGAAGAAGCAAAGCCCCTGTTTGTGCACCAGAGAAGACTTCCTATGGTAAATATTGTTTACAGTGTGCTACTGACATTGCAGATAAATAACAAATCTTATTTCCAGAATAGTTGGAAAAATGTCTAAAATGTGGTAAAACTAGTCTTTTGCCTTAACAGTGACTATGGTTACTATCGTGACTTGAACACCTCAGAGTGTGTGAGGCAACCAAGTGCTGCCAATAAAACCTTAGAGATGTGTCTGAACGGAGAGGAGGATGAACTTCTGACAACAGGGTAAAAGTCACTCCAATTAAAATTCTCCTTCCATCCTGTCACGCTCTCAACAACCAGTACAATACTGTATTATCAACATGTTTACAGGTACCGAAAGGTCCCAAGTGACAAGTGCCAGGGGGGATTCACTCCTCACCTGGCAGAGCAAACAGTCGTCCGACCGTGTGGTGTCAAACCCAGCCCCGGCCCTCCCGCCAAGTCCACATCGCTGGTCACACACTTTGACACACCGGTCAGTAGGTTTGCCTTTCCGCTGCCCTACAAACACTCTCTCTTTGAGCTCTTCATCATCAGTGTATTCTGCTGCGTATCTTTTGCAGAGAGAAAGGCTGGTGTTGATCCTGGTCTGTGTTGGAGCAGCAGTCATTGTGGCGGTAGCCATCGTCTCTGCAGTCTTCGCTGTCCGGAGAGTGCTTTATAGGACTGGGTGTGTTGGACACAAATATCTGTGCATGTGTTCCTGGAACCACTGATAAGTGTGCAGGAGGTGATCATTCCTTTTTTTGTACAGGGCACCTACATATCGTTTCTCAAACCTACGCATGCAGGATGATAACAACGGCGCGACAGCCGATCTTGAAAGTGCCACCAGCAGCAATGGGGTGGCTTGCCAACAGGACTCAGATGATGTGAGAGTTGTTCAACACCAATTTATTTATTTAAGACCTTAAATTAAGAAATTTCCCTATGCTGACTAATTATTTTGTGTTCTTTTTTTCCCAGGATCTTATTGAATGACATATGACTAATGTGCATGGATTAATTATTCACACCAGCTCTTCCGAAAAAAGACCGCAAGCTGTAATTTTTCAACAACAATTTCTCAACATCGACAATATGAAAAAAATAAATGCTAATTTATTGAGCTAACTTTTGTTTTGCTTCACTTGGCTTTCTTTTTGATTTGTACAGTATTTCCTGTTTTATATATATTGAGTGTTTTGCACCATTTTTCAGATTTTAAATGTGAAAACACATCAAACAATCCTAGATGTATACAAAAAAATGTATTAACAAAAAAAAACAACAAAAAACGAAATAAACTAAATATCTAATTGTATCTAATCACTCTGAAGGAAACCACCAAAAACTGTTTAAGGTGTTTATTTACTGTACTGTTTGTTGTTCATTCCTGTTGAACATATAATTTCAGAAAACTTCAAATAAAACGAATTCATGTAATTTTATGAATTATTTACTGAGTAGGTTTTATGGCGGTATCTACGGTATAATTCTTATTTTCATCCTGTCCATTATTTCTGTCTCAGTTAAAAAAATATTTCTGCTCTACATCTGTTCATGGAAGGGAACACTAGCTGCATCGCATCTTCCTAAAAAAACAATAGAAGAAGAAAACCGGAAGTTAATGTCACATACACAAAAGCTTTGGCTGACAGGTATCTCACTCCTTTGAATTTTGTCACGCCTATTTGGGGCAGAAATTAAATATACATTAAACTGCGAGAAATGGCTCACTCATAAAATGTCATTTAATAGCATATTGCATTTTTCCCCACGAGCTATAAACCTTACGGTTCACAAGGGTATCATTTGCTCTGAGTTTTATATTCAGGTGATGATAGAAAAATTGTCAAAGCATCACTCTGTGCACAACCACTGAGCAGGTATTTCGTGGACTGCCATATCTTACCACGCATGCCAAATCTTGTGCTAATTTTGATAATTTAGAAAAAATGTACATAGCAAAAATTTGCTAAGTCTGGTTTACTTTTTCATACATTCTTGATATTTTAACAATGTAACTCTTTTAATAATGTAGAAATTCCATTTGGAGTGGATTATTCTCACCACGTTTGTTATGATTTGTTCATTAAACATTATGTGTTTTGGAAGCTTTTCACTTAGTCATATAATGTTTGTTTTTCTGTTGTTTAAGGCAGATTTGGCTGAAACAAAGTGTTAGAAAGCTGCCAAAATAATGAATAAATACTTTAAAAAATCGTCAGGACTGTTTTCTGTTTTTAAAGTTTTGTTAAAAGAGGTTAAATGTAAACAACACTTAATCTTTCTGAGCATAAAGAGGCACCAAACCTGTGTGCATATCTTTAGGCACATTAGTTAGTATCGGTCTTTACTTTTTCCAACAGAGTGGAGCATCTTAGTGATTGTTTGTTCACCCTTTCCAAGCTGTCATGAAATGAAAGTCAGCGTCATCTCGAGCGAAGCTTCACGAGACAGTTGTGGTGTCCATGGTCATTGAAAGGGTCAGTAAATGTATAACAGTATTAGCTTAACTATATCGCAGGATATTCCTCTTATTTAAGCTGATACAGTAGTTATTTTGGCATGAACTATTAAGACGGAAGCCCGGGACGGTTTTATGCTAGTTCGCCTTCCTCGAAACTGCTATCGGAAAGTGTGCACTTTCCAAATATTTTGGTCACTGTCGTGTTTTCGTGAACAAATGCTTAAACAAATATCTGAGTTTTGTAGCTACATCCAGCCGTAAGTAACGTGCCGACACTTTGATTTGTACTTCGTTTTGTCCAACTGCAGGCTGCTTTCCTGGAGGAAACGGTGGCAGGAAACTCGCTAAGATGCTCAGATCTGGCGGTGAGCCGGTTTTATTTTTTATTCAAACTGTACAAAGGAATAGTTACATCGTTGCTCATCTCCTTGAAAACATACAACGAAGTCTATAAGCACCTTTAAGGTGACGCTGGTCTTGTTTAACTCTGCTTCCGTATGTGTGCTGTTTTGCAGGCATTCTGAAGTTAGCCGCGTTGTTGTCGGTTTTTCTGCTAGTTGTGTTTCTGGCTTTTCAACTACTGGATATCAACACGGATTTCAACTTTGGCTCTATGATCTGTGAGTAGCAGCTGAGTTTAGCACACTACTGGGCTGTCTTTAAGTTACAACTTTCCCCTTTCTTCTTATGTGTTTGATTATGTGTTTTACGTTTGTAAAATGAAGCCCCTGGTCTTAAAATCTCATTTAAGTGATTGCCAAAGCTCTGTTTTACATGGCTGCTCTTTGCTTTTCAGCGAGGTCCTTACCGGGGGATGAACTTTGTAAGTATCATCAGACTCGGCCTCTTTAATTGTAACTGGTGGTTCTGATGTTTAGTGATGCTTAGCAGTTTGGATGTGCTTTTCCTGTGTGACGTTGGGCTTTTTGGTACTTGATGTAAAAATGGAGCTTTGTATTCACAGCGACAAAGCCGCTCAGGCATAAATGTGGGCTGTCGAAGGCTTGTCCACCTGATCACTTTGCCTTCAAGATGGCGAGTGGTGCAGCCAGTGTGGTCGGGCCGAAAATCTGCCTGGAAGACAAACTGTAAGTAAAGTCATGTTTGAAGGAATCAAACTTCCAGGTGATCATGTGCACCTTTATTTACCTTGCTGGTAGTTCTTGATAAGGAAGGCAAAGAAATGAATAAAGGTTAGGCAGCATTCAAACAATTCTGTTTTTCTCAAGAGACACTTGAGATCTGAGTAAATTCACATATGTCTTGCCAGCAGGATCATATTTGTCTTAGGTTTCCTAAAACCTGCTTGGAAACTGGGCCTCAATTTGCATTTGTGAGGTAAACATTTCAGTCTGTCCAAATAAAATAAAGTGTGATCTGTTCTTGTTATAGCAGACAAAGTCTATTTGTAATGGAAATGGAGAAGCCCGTGTCCTCTGAGCTATTTTAAAGCAGCACAGACTTTTGGAGGCTAATCTCCAAATACTGAGCTCTGCTTCATGGAAATGAATACACCGTTCTGGTGTTGGTTTATAATGAGGTAAAAGTCCTGTCAAATATTGACAGGATCCAGCTATTCAAATGGTTTCTATTAGAAAACATACAGGTGTCAGTTGGGAACCAGCACAGCTAAGAAAAAATGGCCATATGGCTTTTCCTGGTCAGATCAAACTAAGGCTCAACACGTCACATCAGCGATCTCAATCCCATCTCTACTTTAAATTCTTGTTACTGAACATTTGTAAGAATTAGCAGTCACAACGTCATGAATACAATTCTCAATGACATGCCAATTTTAAAGTGTAAGAGAATACGTTTCAAATCTTTGCCCAAACAGTTCAGGGATCTTTTATGGGTTATAGCTGCCTTTGTTTAAGGAGACACCGAGTGTAAATGGTGACAGCTGCTTGAGCTGTCAGCAGCAAAATGATGACCACTCAGGATATGAACACTTCATCCTTCTGAGCAGGAAAAAGCACCAAACCTGTGTGCGTATCTTTAGGCACTTTTGTTAGTATCGATCTGTGGTTGTGGCCTCACGACTGATTTCTTCACTCCACCACAAACTTAAGGCGAGAATGAAGGCAGTCATTTTTGTGTCTCGAGCTTTTCACTTAAGGTAGAGGTAATAACAGGTCTTATGGAGGAGTGAATGCTGCCCAGAGTGTGAGATCTGAACAAAAGGCAGTCAACATGCAAATAAGCCCGAGGTAATATTGCTGAAGACTAGAAATGTGCTTCAGCCTGTATTGAAGAACAAAGGGATCTTTCCAAAGTCAGATTTAAGTCTGTCTGAGTCACACATTCCGTCTTTGACCTGTACACAGCCTTACACAGTTATTCAGCACACGGGTCAATAAATTTGGGCAACTAATTTTCATTTTTGACGACATAAAAACAAGTTTGGCGGCTTGCGTGGCAAACTTAACGCTGCATCATAAACCGTGCATCATCTGTTAAGACAGGTGTCTCCCTTTACTGGTGCAGTAGGTGTCCATGGTTTGTATTCCAGAGATCTTTCCTCTCACTGTGTTCCTACTCCTGCAGATTAATGAGCAGCTTGAAGAATAACGTGGGGAGAGGGATAAACATCGCTCTGGTCAACGGTAAAACGTTCCGCTCGAGTCCCCAGTGATTGTAAATAAGCTGCGCTGTGCGTTTGCAGACCAGAATGGGTTTGAAGCTTATTAACCCCTATGTGTTGTTTTTGAGACCTTGGGAATCCTGCTGTGAGTGGGGGGTCTAACTGGAAGCTTTTTACTTGTAGGGAAAACCGGAGAAGGTCTGAAGACGGCCTACTTTGACATGTGGGCAGGAGGTGAGGATTCCTTTAAGCTGTTGTGATTGTGTGCATTTGAAGAAACACAACTGGTACTAACTGTGCGTAACCCTGTGCAGATGTGGCTCCATTCATTAAGTTCTTAAAGGAAATAGAAGATGGAACAGTCGTGATGATGGCCTCATTTGACGACCCTGCAACCAAGTGAGAACTCCCTTCCGTGCTTCCTGCTGTTTGCATTTGCACTCTCTGTTCAAATGTCTTTTCCCTTCCTCTAACCGGTGCTGCCCCAGGCCTTGGCTATAAAATTGCAAATGTCCTCTTTACTGAATAGGCTCAATGACGAAGCCCGGAAGCTGATCGCTGATCTGGGAAGCTCTGCTGTGAATAATTTGGCCTTCCGGGATAACTGGATTTTTGTCGGAGGAAAAGGCATCAAAACCAAGAGTCCATTTGAGCAGGTAAGATGCATAGGACAGCGTTGTCTAAGTTGTTCTGCGTTTCGATACGAATAAACTAGCACACATGTCATCCTAAGGCTACGTATGTTAGAGTGAAACCTTGTTGATGTCATCCGTCTTTGGACAGGATGTTTCCTTGCACGTTAACGTTATTTACCCGTCATGTTTGTCCCCTCAGCACATAAAGAACAGCGCAAACACAAACAAATATGAAGGCTGGCCTGAGGTCTTGGAGATGGAAGGCTGCGTACCACAGAGGCAGGACTGATATCGGCTTTTGTTTTTCGCTATAACTCCTGGTATCTCTTTCTGTGCAAGATGTCTCAATAATCCCACTTTTCCACTTTGATAAAGACCTTTCACCTCAAAGCAGACTGAGAGGAAAGAAAAAGCCGCAGAGATGCATCAATGAGCAGAAAAATCAAACCTTTCCGTTTCGGTTGAGCTTCATCACATATATCACATATTTGACTTTTTATTGGTGTTTGTGAGATGAGTGCACTGAAAAAAAGTAATTTATCTATAATTATTGCCTTTCGATCTCCCTTTCTGTTATTACACCGCAGAGATTTAAAGATTATTACTGTTCCGTATGAAAATAAATCATCCTTTCAAAATGGAGGTTCTTATTTCAAACGTCCTCTGTGTACCCTGCCTTAATGATCCTTTTTTTGTACCTTTTTAATCACTGAATCTTTGATTCCTTTCATGCCAGAGTTGTTCCAGAAAGTGAAACCAGAAAGGTTTATTATTTTCACCATATTTTAAGGAAGTATACCACCTTCACTGTGAAATTTGTACAGATCCTTTTAGTCAGATGGGTAGATTTGAGAGATTTTAATTTTATGGATGTAATAATATAATTTCTTAAATAAATGATACCATAATTGTCTGTGCCTACTCCTTTCTGTTTGCCAAAATCCAGTGCTGGCATTGGCCTGAGTGTGGACAGGACTCCTTCGTGGGTGTGCCTCTACAGGTTAACTTGGCTCTTATAAAGGCAACAACAGGTAAAATGGGCCAGTGACTATGGCAGAATTGTGATCCACTCACCTTTTGTTGTATAAAAGAGAAGGTAAACTTGAAAAGACATGTGAAACATAAAAATACCTCCCTGGCATATTAGAATAGAAAATGTCACCTCAGCTGGAACAAAAACAAAAGATGGCTCATTTCTAAATCTCCAATAATCAGTTTACCCACCAGATTCATTTCTGCCACATACCGTTTGTGATCTATTTTTCTACGAAAATCTCTCGTGGCCTATTATGCCATAAATGAGTAGATATTTTGATGTTGGTGTGGAAATTGCAGATAATTAAAATGTATAAAGAAATTAACCTTCTTTAAACTTTAGTCCAGTGGAGTTCTTTAAGCCTTTGTTTGCTTTGAAATGCTCATAAACAAATACTTAATTGTCTGTATCCCTTGAGTTTAAATCATGAGGGTGCACTGTGCAGAAAAATAAAGGCTTTATGAATGACCCACAGGTGGCACCATTGTCTAGATTTATTCAGCTTCCACATGAACTTGTTGTGATTCATGTATCCAGCTGAATACATGCATGACTGTTTAAAGAAAAAGAAAAAAACGAATAGACATTATATATGTTTAAAAATGAATTCTTATTAGAATTCTGTATCATGCTGATAGGAGATGGCCTGCCATTCACCTGTCACCCTCTTCTCTGTCACTGGGGAGCACTGCTCTCATTCATCTGAACTCCACAAAACATCTGCCTGTCATTTTATATCTCCGTGCATTTTTATGAGCTTATGCATTAAGGCACACCGTTTGTTCGGCAGCTGTGCTCGTGCCTGTATTGTTTGTCCTTTCCAGTGTGGGTATACCGAGTTATAGTTTAGAACTCTGGAAAAGCTCTGGACTTCTCAATAGGTCCCAAAGATACAGATATAAGAACAGAGGTCTGAGTGGAGAATGTTCTCTCATGAAAACATTTTTTAACTCCTGTCTTCATGAACAAAGAATGAATCTGCCCCCTAAACAAGGCTAAAAGCCCCCAAATGGGCTGTTCCCTTTTTATTATGACCTCTGATTATTGACCACCTGACCACTGGCACGATTCTTCTTTTTTCTGTGAACAGTCTTTTAAATGGTTTCCTCTTCATTTACTATGAAATATAATTTCCTACCACTTTCACTGAGCCAATTCTGTAAATCCAGACCTTGACTAAATGACAGCAAGGTTTACAGTAGAAGGTTAAACATGCTGCGGAACTGAGAGCCTGTACTGCAGAAAAAGTCTGAAAGGCATGAGACCTTTAAACATGGAGTGCCAGGGAAGCTTTCTGCCATTGTCAGATGTTCATGAACATTTTTTTGGTTTGTTTGTTTTTTTTTGCTGGAGGCGTTGCCTCGCTCTACTTTTCTCTTGAAAAATACCCTCAAAGGTTCAGTCCCGATTCAGGTTAGGCGACATGCACGGCTATAGGTTCTTTGTGGCTTTTTTCCTTTTCAAAGTTTTTGGAATGTGCCGCAGAGTCATTTTGTGCGTCAGTGTTTTAAGTCGTGGAAAAGCATTCATGGTGCCAACCTTAAATCTTGTGAGGTTTGGTGTAACTAACACATTTGACAAATTCCCCAGATAGAGATAATTCCCTCTCGGTCACAGAAAGTCCCTCTTTGTGTTGTTGTTGCGTTTAGATTTTTTGTCATCAAATAAGTGCTCCAGAGGAAGTGTTCCCTCCCGTTTCATCAGAATGTTCTGGCTGCCTTTGATCCGTAACTTCTAACATCTAGGCCCGGATCAGGGCCACGGCTAGCCGAACATAAACACCACCATTTATATATTCCTACGCTCTCTGTGGGCAGTAACCACCCCCCTCGCTCTGTCTGCTGATACTCGGCTCCAAACAAAGCCAAGCCCTCTTGTTTACATTCAGCACTGCACATTAACCCTCCCCAACTTTTTTTCCACAACTGTTTCTTTCAGGATCTTTAACCCCATCCCCCCACTCTCTCGCCACTAACCTCACCGCCCTTTGCTTTCTGCCCCACCTCCACTCCTATGATTACCTCTCCAACACACATGTATGCACACACTGATCCAGGCAGCTGTGTTTACACTCTGTGGGCCTGTGAGAACTTCCTGCTGACCTCAGCACAGACATTGCGTAGGCCTGCAGACTCTCGTGGATCAATAGCTGATCATATGGAGCCTTTCACACATTCTGTCGACTCCTGAATTAAAAATGGGTCAGAGACAGAGGACTGAGAATGACTTACATCAGTTTACTAAGAGTTTTACCTCTTTCATTAAATGGTCGTGGATAATATTTCACTCTAATGGATTTCTTAACACCCGTCCCAAGTGCTCGGAGCAAAAACCTGGAAACTTGATCACATTAAAGCACAGATAACGTGTTCAGCTTTAAAATAGCACAGGCATTTTCCCCCTCACTAATAGCTGCCGTGGTTGACTCTCAGCTACACACATGGTCTCTTTGGTTTCGGTCGGAAAACAAAGCTCTCATTCACCGCTGTCATCTTGACTTTCTGCAGCCTGGAGCTCGGGGTCAGGAAGTCGAAAACGGATCTGATCACTGCGGGTGAAAAACAGACGCACCTCACTTTTGACCGATCCAACTCAACCTGCAGAAGCTTTAAAGAGTAGTTCACCAGACTTCCACAAGCTGGTGGCAGGCGCTTCTCTTTAAAGGGGGGTGCTGTGCACAGAAACTTCTTAATAATGTTCAGGGGGTTGTTTGAGTTACGATTGCTCCACTGTATCCAAATCTTGCATGTAAATACTTGCTCATCAGGAGACTCCATAAGAGTGTGTGGCAGGGTGTGTTTTCAGGATTCACATCGTCTGCACTGCAATGTGAATATTTGCATATCACATTTTTTTATATTCTGTGAAACTGAAATAAATAGTATAATTTATTTTTCTTAGATTGACTATTCTCTGACAATATGTCAAAGAAGAAGCAAAGAGATAATTACAGCCTTTAGATTTTTACATTTCGTTCACATTCCGTGCCCTTTCAGCCATGTTGTCACAAGACTGTAAAAAAAATATTGACGTTGTCTGTGGACTTCAGCTCCTATGACCATAACGTCTGCCTTATTCATTGTGCAATAGTCTAGACAACCGTCCTATATACTTTTGCTGATTAAGCTTTATCATTACTCAAGCAGTACATTGGGGATTAAGCATGCATTGCTTCTTTTTTTCTATACTGGTCATATATATTACAATAAGTCTTCTAATCTCAAAAGCTTAAAGGGGGAGTTGAGGGGTCCAGCTTTCAGCTAATGTATGAAAAATCTGTTTTTGCACGCCAAGTTATTATCAAAGAATGTTGAGCAGGTGCAGACCAAATCAATGACTTTGACAAGAGTTATTACACTGTTATAAATGTGTGAGATAAGACATATCAGAATGATTGCAGGCCTGGAGCCATAACAGAGTCATAACTATGCCAGCTGGAGCAGAGAGAGCAATGAGAGAAGAAAATCACCCCGTAATTTTTCTGACAAGCTTGTGCAGCATTTCACCATAAATGCAGCCACCTCATCAAGCCCTCTGCGTACATATGCATCTTGCATGTCTTTTTTCCCCCAAAACATGTCCACATGTCTTGAAAATGGACTGAATGTCATTCTAAATTTGTTTGTGCCTGTGTGGAGATGTTTTTCGTTTATGCGTTTATAGCTATGATATGGTTTTCAGTTGCACAGGAGAAGGGCAGATTACGACTTTTAGAGAGACAGATATTGCATGCAAAACCACAAAGTCAATATAAATGCAGTATTTAAAAAATGCCATCGATTTAAAACCAACTATTATTATTTAAATGATGCATACTATCACTTTTCATTAAGTTTATAAAAGTTTATAAAAAAAAGCTTTTGTTGACAATTCAGTTCTTCTATATATTTTCATTCTGAAGGCAAATTCACATGACTTAAGTCACTGGAATGTAATAACCAAAATCTACACTACTATGGATTCAAGTCAGCGCTGAATGAACCCTTATCCCACGAAGTGTAAAGTTTGCAGAACTAAATTCCATGACCAAGGCCAAACTATGAAAAGAATATGAGCGAGGGACGGCCCAGACATGGGTGGGCTCCTGGGCTGAAGATCGGCCATGGTTTGTGGTTTTTCAGTTAGTCCCCCGTTTCATTGGAAACAGACACCATCTTTGTTTGTTTTGTTGTCCTTTATGACCTTTTGGGCGTGGCTCTCTTCATAAATGAGAGTTGTAACATGAAGAAAATCAGGAAGAGTAACATATAAATCACTTCTGATTTGAGATCCCCACAGAGAGAGATGACAAAAGTCTCTTACATTCTTGTTTTGGGTAGCTGTTTCAGGCCCCTCCCTGCCTGATAGCTTCATGCAGGTTGTGAACGATTAAAAGCTCTGATTGGTGAGCAATTTCAGATTATCAGTTCAGCTGACCGTGTTGATGTGGGAATGTTTGGCTCGCCATATCTGACTCAGACTATCTCCTTTGTGTATGAAATAAAACATCCTGCATTGCACTCCTGTTTCATCTCCTCACTGAAAACATCCCACCGGGTTTTGACAAATGACAAGTTGGATGAGAACCAAGTCATGGGTTCATGTCACCGTGAGAATTTGTGACCTGCTAATCAACAAATCTTTTGTCTCTAAATTCATGAGTGGCGTAGAGGCCCACATGGATTAATTGAAATGCAAATGTACAGGTTTTTCTCCAGGTTTTTCTCCAGGTTCTTTCAAATCTAATTTTAGAAAAACATTCTAACATAAGCATGTAGAATTCCTCTGCAAGACTTGAAACTTGTCAAAACTAAACATACGTTTTGTTTGGAATTCAATTCCTTGCCCAAAGTGTAGACAACATATTAAACATAAAAAATCTGAAATGTTCACACAGTATAAGGCCATGAGGAAATGAGAGCGATTCTGTCTGGTTAGAATGGAATAGAAGATTTACTCTTCTCCTTCTTCTCTGAGTAACAAAGGTGTTGTCATTGTCTTTTTGGGTGGAGGCACAAGATCCCATTATGACAAAAGGAGAAAATGGAGCAAGATGTGCATTTGAGATCCCCTTTTCGGAGGCTTTCATTCTCTTTTTGTTAGCAAAATGTTCTCATGTATTAACACACACCTCGCTCTGTGGAAGAAAGAAAAGGTCGGCCTGATTTCTTTTAAAGGCCTCAAATGAAAAATGACACTTCTTTATTCCCCTTATGTATTTACTTTACATCTTTTACAATTGGTGCATTTATAAGGTGTATTTCTTAGATTTTCTTTTTTTACATATGGATTTAACTAGTCCTCTGACTGGTGGATGAAAGGTCTAATCTCCAGAGGCATAGTAACCTGTTGTAATCATATCTTAAATCAGGTCTGCTAAAAGTCTGGCTTCTCTTTGTAATGGCAGATATTTTCTTCTTTCGTGAGTTAGATTTCCTCACAGTAAACATCCACATGCTACAGTATAGTTGTGTGTGCTGAATTGGGCCTCACTTCTGCTGTTGTTGAATATTGTTTAAAGACATTTCTGACATGAGAAAGACATCATCATTGAGGGAAGTCTGAGCCTCCAAAGTCCACTAATGGCAGCAATGCTCTTTAACCATTTGTGCTCGGATGCTTTGAGGTCCGGCCAAGCAAAGCGCACACGCTGACGGGACTTCATGGTATCCTGCTGTACAAACGCAGGCCTGTCCTCTGTGGGTTTTTGCTTCCATAAAAAGGATGCAGGTGTGTCGGTTTAACCCATGCTTTCACCTCCTGTTGTGCTCCAACACAGACACATACAGAGATCCTCTGGCTTCCCACTTCTATGTGAAATCTGGCAAAAAATAACTTCTGGCTAAAGCGTGAACGCCCCCAAGTGTGACCTATGTGTCACAGCTTCACATGTTGGCTTTTTTTTTTTTTCTAAATAGAGTGCAGAACGCACAGGCTGCCTAAAAACAGGAAAAGCAGCTTTACATCAGAGTATTAAAGGTTGTGTGTTAACATACATTAGTCACTCCAGCTGCCTGTTTTCAAAGTCTTGCATTAAATGATGTGGTTTGCGAAGGAGAGAGGCATTGGAGGTCGTTGACCTTCGAGGAGGTGTTGCAACCTCTCTTCACAGGTAACCAATGAAAATTCAGAAATACCTGCTGATAGGAGAGGAGGGGAGTGGCAGCGGTGCTTTCCTCTGGCAAAACAGCTTCTTGTTGAGGTGTGTATGTGTGCGCTGGAGGGAGTGTGGATGAGGAGGGAGGTGGTTTGGAACAAGACTGATAAGGTGACTGGGACAAACACACTCCATAGGTGATTGGACAGATGACGGGGGTGTTGCCGGGTAAAACTGTTTCCAAATGTTTGGAGGTTTTGCATGAGCTGGAAATGTGTGTTTGTGTGTCTATGTCTCAGACTTGGATTCATAAATCTGCTTGTGGGTTTGATTGTCAGCTTGATTTCTTGTGTATACGTCCACCACCACAGAACATATGTGCGTCATTTGAGGGCCAACGCGATCCCTCTCAGATCCTTTTTCATAACATTGCTGAGCTCTGTCCCTCACAGCAAATGACCCTGCGTGTTACATGAGTCATGCAGAAACACAACACCATTTGGACTAAAGCTGTCCAAATGTGGCTCATGGCCAATTTGGTCAGGCCTGCCCACGCCTTCCTTAAAGGCTGGAACCCAAATTGATCATCACATTATCCAATCAACAGCAATTTCATTACCAGAACACAAGAGACAGATAACGACGCTTCTCATTTTCTGTGCTGCGTCTGCTCAAACTATTCAAGTGTTTTTAAATGGCAAATGCAATTACCAACGGCACATCTTGTGCAAAATGCTAATGGAAGCCAAGAACAACACCTCCCCACGTCTCCTCTGGCTTGGCACAGAAGAAGCTTTTTCAGCCACAGAATTAACTCCCCTAAGCAGTTTTTTTTTCATATTGTGCAACCTCAATATCAGGCCTGTCATTTACTTGCCATTGTTCGAAATGCTCACCGCTGTTTCTACCACTCGGTCCAGTAATCTGCAACAGTTTGGTGATAATTATAGCTTACCGGTCTGACTGTAAGCACCGCCTCTTTGGTTGGTACAGAAAACAAAATATAGGAAACTTCCATTTCCTTGCCTCCCAAAGGAGGCCAAGAAGGCCATGAGGCTGACTTTGGGGTTTATGGTAAACGGGATTGCTGCTGCTTGTTTCTTTGTCTTGTCCTTTTCTCACTTCCTGCCAAAGAAAATTGGGCCACAGGGGTGGATACATTTTTATCATCTTTCTACTTCCTCACCAGAACAGTCACTTCTTTTTCTTACTCTAACACACCTCCACTGAAGTGCTGTAAAGAAGAGGAGTGATTATGGTTCCCGGTGTGTCTGAGAAATACGGGTCTTGATACTGAGCCAATGTCTGCGGACGCACATACGTGCACGTGTGAGGTCATTATCGGAGGCTCTCAGAGGCCGATCCCGTTACACTAATGGTAGAGGTTTCGCCATCCTTTAATGGTGCTTGGAGTTCATCAGGGACGGATGCATGACACGGAGAAGAATGAGACTCTCATTCGCAAAGAAGCCCGCTTGCTCACAACATAATGCACATAAATTGTAAGAAGCAACAATAGAACCTATCTCCATTACAATGCGCCGTTGCATAGTGAGCCATTTAATCACTAAGATAACCACGACTCTCACCTAACAATGTCTGGCCGTTCAAAATCCCAAGCAATCCTTTTTCCCCTTCAATCACCACCCTATTTAAGAAAAAACAATTTGTCAAATCAAAACAAGTGATGTCTGGGTTTATATATTTAGCTCGGTTTATCTAGAAGTTATGCTGTCCTGTTGATTCTACGATATAAAAATAGTTAAGACTAATATTTTGGATTGTTTTAAACTGTGGATTCAATTTCAACCAAAGACTCAAACGGATTATAGAAAGGGGGGGGTTCATTCTCAGAAGTGAGTACTCTCCCTCCATATGCTCTATGTTTGGATGTTATTTGCATACATTCCCTTTGTTCATTTTACCATTTTCCAGATCCCTCCCAAAAAGGAAGACAGTGTTGTTTATTTGCAGAAGGCAAAAAAAAAAAAAATCTCCCAGAATTCCACATGCGGGAGTGAGCTATGGCCCGGAGGTTTAAACCAGGGATTGTGGCAGAGGAACTATGGGCTGGCAACGAGAGGCAGAAAGTGCTGTGCGCTTCACTGTTCCCTGAGAAATGATGCTGAGATCTAATTGAACGAGACGCCAAGATGCATTTGTAACCTATGATTAGCAAGTAGAATTGATGAAGCTTGAGGTTCAGCCCTTATTTAGCAATTTATTGGACACTCTTTTTCTCACCGTTGTGGATATCTTGCTCTCTACAGATAGTCCTCAGCCCTTTCTCCATCATGAAAAGAAGAAAACATAGCTGCTGTTTTTGTCGGTAGATTTAATAGCTCCCTCCTCCAGCACTGGCTGCCAGTTGCGTCCCTTTTCATGGCTGTTTGTTGCTATAGCTGTAAACTCTGACCCACCGTCTGTGTTGCAGGACAAAGGCCTCTCCTACCTCAGAAACAGAGCAACGGTTTTCGGAGTGTGTTGCAAATGTTAACACAGTTAACAGTTTTTTTTTTATCACCAACCCTGCAGTGAAGGGAAAAGGCTCCACTGTGGCCATAAAACATAGTTTACACTGACGGGAGGCCGACCACATGGTCTAATAACTTCAGGAATTTGGTTATCGTTTTGTTCCAGTCAGCGGAAGTTGTTTCTTGATATTTTGACTGCGCACGCAACTACTGAAAGCAGTGCGTAAGCAGCGGAGTGTGTTTTTGGTGTCGTATTGCAATGAGAGCTTTCAGTTTTCGGGAGTTGAGCTTATCAGGTGCAAGGGAGGCCCAGAGTCAGTCACCAGTGCAGGGGCTCATTGGTGCACAATCATATCCTGGATAAGAACAGCAACAACAGGAGTGGATCCAGAAAGAAAAGACAACTGTTAAACCACCTCTATACTTTATTAAGGACCTCTAAAAAAAGGCCACACAGCACATTGTAAAGTTTAGACAGGCAAAGAAAACTATCTGAGGTTTGTCAACAAAACTGCCTGGTTGGGTTTAGGAAAGGAAGATTTGAGGATTTGAAGATTAACTACATTTGATCCTTTGCAAGCTGGCTCGTGTCTGACAGTAGCTGTGCCGTTTGGCACCGGCCAGCGACTCTCACTGAGTCCGGTGCCACAACAGATCAGGATCATGCCTCCAGGTTTCAAAGTGGCGAGGGATGTTGTGCAACACGGACAGCGGCCTGTGTGCAGAGGGAGGCAAAGACATGAAAGGATGGCAGAACGGAGCAGGTTTAATAAGATGCAGCTGCATCTGGACTCATTTTTAATAACAAACAACAACACTCGTATCAAAACCAAGCAAAGAAGTTATGGATATTTTACTGTGCCAAGAAAAACTCAAGGGGGCTTACACGTGATTCACTTTCTTTATTTCTAAAAGTGAAAGTTTAACCTTCCTTTATTCATTATATGTCTCTGACTGGATACGTGCTGTGTATCATAAATTAAAATCAGGCTATTGAGGTTTTGTTTGAAAGAGGAAATACCACGATAAGCAGAGCTGAAACACAAAAAAACCCTTATTCCATTTGACCAGTTGCACCAGGCAGTTGCACATATGGAAAAAGTGTTGGGGGTGAGCAGCTGTGGCACTCACATCAGCATACCTCCCCGCAGGGTGTGTGTGGTTTCTAATTTTGTCCCCTCGGTATGAAGACTGGCGGACCACTAAAGGACCCATTTGTTATCAGTTTGTTTCCATTTCCGGAGTCATGGGCCTGTACTTTCAAGATTGTCAAGCTGAGATATTCTGCCTGTCCCCGGTGAACGCGTAAACCTCACTGCTATCACTGGGCATGTCCGCACTGGACCTGGAGGGCCGCTTGCTAATCCTTTCCCTGATTACTGGTCATCTCACTTCATCCTGGTGGTTATATAATTTTGCATTGATACACTCTGCTCATCATATTCACTCCCAAGTCGTCACCCTTTATTCTCGCCACATTGTATAACAGGTGTGGCTGGTTCCCGGTAATGATGTTGGCAGAGCAAACAGTGTTTGCAATGTGCCTGAGAGAAAATTGCCTGACCTACTGGAAAGTGGGTGTTTGTTCTGTGCGCAATATGGGAAAAAAAGGCCAGGTGGCTTTTCTCACTGTAGATATATATAGAAATATGAGGAAGGTGGGGACAGCGTCAAACATGAAAATCGCTTCTAATCTTTCTTTAAGAAATAAAGGAAAAACTGCTGAAAAGAAAGCAGACCATTAAAAGGAGGTTGTCTTAGTTCCCAATTTTTAGTTGAACTTTTAGAATCTATTTAAGAATACAGATTTTTCTAATATATTAGGACGGTGTTGCAGGGATGAAACACTAAGATAAAAGCTTTGTTACTCTAACTTTTTTTTTTTACGTTTTCCAATCACTCCCACATTTTCATTTTTTATTTTACTTGGGATTATTGTTCAGGCTATAGATAACAGTCTTTGGTTATTGTTTACTTTTTTTTTTTTTTACTGCTTTCTCTATCTTCTTTCACACCTTTTAACTCATCCAGTTCCCCTTCTTTGCCTGTAATTAGATTGCACTTAAACCTTTTCATTCATCAGTTTCACAGTAATTAAGATTAATGGAAATGAGGTAATGTGTGATGTCTGCTTCTCCTTCCGCTGCCCTTCCTAACACTCCCTTGTTATCCATCTTCCTCCTCCCTACGTTCTCTAACACTCTACTCAGTGTGTTTTTAATGAAGTGAATCTCTAACGACTTTTTCCTGTCTCTGCTTCTTTGCAGACATTTATAAATTGTGGCAATTTTATGGAGATTTTCTTTTTTCAGACTTAGCCGTTCTGTTATTTCACGCAAAGTTGTGTTGTGTATTATTTGTAAACCTTTTTGTCGTTTTGGTTGTGATTCCCCAACATGCATGTGGCACAGATGAAAATAAATATGAGGCGTTGTCTTGCAGGACATTATTTTTGTCTTCTTTGAATTATGTATAAAAAAGACTATTATCTGCTGAGTTTTTAAATATTTAAAAGATGGCCAAGACAGGCTAAACCTTTTTATTTGTATCTTTGTATCTTGTTTCTACTTCTAGTTATCATATAAAATTGACATAAGCTGTATTGTTGATAAGAAAAAAAAGAATAAAGTAAGCATCGTTAGGCTTCTACATACTTCTGAAACAGGCACTGTGGAAGTAGTTTTTTTAAACTGTGTGGCCCAGCTATTTTCCTTGGCAGAAATGAGAAATTGAACAACTACTGCTGGCTACAAACAGTACACAAGGAGCTCCATGCTCCATAAACAAATCAGAGCACATAGAGCACCATATCGCCGCCAACATGCAGTCTCTGGGAGATCGTCTGGTTCTGAATGTAGTCATTTACTGCTTGGAGCTCTGATTTTTACGTTCCCCGAAGCTACCATAAAAAAACACAATAGACATTTGTGGACTTTCCACTGTCGATCTAATTGCAACCACACTCAGTATTTTGAAGAATGCAGATGTTTCTCCTTGATCAGACAGGCCTATACAACAATATGATATTTGAGCATCCTTTGGTTGGCAATTAACCTAACATGCATATTTTGGGATGTTTTGGAGAAAGAGAGAACCTAGAGCTTGCCCATACACAGGGAGAACATGCAAACTCCACATTTTAATCTAATCTAATCTAATCTAATGTAGTAATAAATTACTGAAAAACAACTGCAAACTTTTGCCTGAGCAGATTCGTTTTAAGGGGCCATTTTCATTCACATTGCAAGATCGCTGTATTCTTAAAAAGTTTTGATAGAGATCCAGTCACATTCACATTTATGGAGCCAAACTCCAAGCCACCTATTTGTGCCTAAATTGGCAGCTCAGGGTGTAATTTAGGTGTGCAATAAGTCAACAATGGTCGCTCCTGTTCACTATCTGGCTCCTCTCAGATGGGTTGCATGCTAACAAACATTATTGCGTTAGTGGGCAATCATGGGATTGTAAAAATAAATTTTACATGGAAGTTTAGAATTTTCATCATTTGCAAATTTTTGTTGGTTACGTTATAAACTCCACTGTGAAGTTCCACTTAATTACCAGAATTTTTGTGCATATTTGTTGAGAGTCGACCGACGTCTTTATGTAGTATTTAGTCATTTAACAAATCTATTGTTTTTTGTGTTATTCATTTTTAACTTGAAGTATGCAAAAAATTTCAGTTTGTACAGAAAGTATGTATTTATGTTCATGGTAAGCTATCCCTCACAATATGCAATATTTGACAGAAATACGCAACCCACATTTAACCATTCATTTTCAGAAATTTCGGGATCTCAGTATGTTGTTTTTCATAATTTTTTACTTGCATTTTCACCAAGCAAAGCCCCGCAACATTTTAAAACAGATCATGGTGACACTTCGGTTAATAGAAAGGCTTTGGTCCAAATGTCACATTTGTGAGTACATTTTTCTTCTTGAATAGTATTTGCCATCCCCCTTACCTTTTATGTGAGGATCCCCATCGTGCATCCCTGGAGGACAGATGCAAATATAATCCACAGCCCTGTGTGACAAAGAAAGACAACAGACTCTGACACATTGTTTTCATAGTAACAAGGTTCATTATCTCCATAACCAGAAAGCTAAAGTTGTGAGGCATTCAGCATTCTAATGTATGTAAAACCTTTTTGGTGATTACAAAGAGTGTCCTTGCTGCAAGGTGATGACATGTATGAAATCAGGTTATTATTGAGCTTGGAGGAAGCTTCAGTCGGGGAGCTGATTAAGTGCAAGAGAAGAAGAGTGAAGATGGATTCAATGTAGGTTTGAAACGCAATTTTCCACACGTGCAGCACAGGCAGAGAAAGCTGATCTGACTATCTGAAATCGTGTTACGTTGACTCTCTGCCTTTCACGTCTCCATTTGCATGGGTAATTTTAGTTATGTGCGAAAGGGGTTTTGTGTCAAGGCTAAGCCATTCCCAGATGTGTCAATCCAATTTCCTGCTTCTCCATGCCATTATAGGGGCTTAAAAATCATGATGGCTATTCTTGGTTGCTCCCAATCTCCAAGTCTGAATATATTGTGCATTTATGTTTGTTTGAGGAAGTAGGAGGCTTTCTTTAGAACTGTTAAACAAGTCCAAATATATTGGGTTAACATAACAGTCCAGACATGTCCTTTATTCTCAATTAATATCAATACTAAACGATAGAGTAAATATTATTACATTATTCAGACCCAATTCTCCCATTCCGACATTCAAAACAGAAATCCTGTCTAAGACCTAACTGTAAATCTCCTTTCTTTTTCTGTCAAACCATTTTATAATCCAGACTTTACCATAGCGAAGTTATTGTGCAACAGCATTTACATTTTTTAAATACACTACCCCATAATATTATGTTGGATTATTTAAGATTACCTGATGTGTTGCATTGCCTACTGACTGTTGAATCTGGTCCAAGAATGAATGTCCGAACCCATCCCAGGGGGTCATGAGACTAGGCCTTGTGATGAGGTGAAATCACATCTCACAGTGCACAGACTCACTGTATGCACACTGTGAGCATCCAGTGAAAGTAGATGTTTCTCCTTTTTAAAAGGTCACGAGGAATAAAGGATAGAGGCCACTGCTTTTAGGTTCCCAGAAGACACACAAATTAATTTTCTTTTAAGCCCTTTGACATTCTGTCATCATAATCCTCTTCACTTTCCCCCCCTCTGCTTCTACCCGGGTCTGTAGATTAACCCTGTCTCTCCCGGGCATTGTTCTAATTAGTGGCGATTAGTGATAGAGACAGTAACAGATGAAGGAAATTTTGACCAAATGACTCCGCCTGTGAGGCAAAGAGCCGTGAGTTTCTCCCCCTAAAAGGCTTTAAAGCGGCTCCATCTGAAGGACACGAGGAGAGCCACATGCTCTCTTAAGCAATTTGGGGAAAATGACTTGGCCCCATTTGAATTTCCAGGACCAAAGTAGCTTTTCTGCTGGTAACAGCCCGACAGTATCTGTGGTTGTTTCCTCTTTCAGGGTAAGTGAGGGGAGTTTCACGTCAGAGTTTCAGCTGGATTTTGCAGTGCAAAAACATTTACAAAAGAAGAGGGGAAATTCATCCACTGATCATGAGAAAAGAAAAGGGAAATTGTCAAAAAACACAGAGGGTGTAATTTCATCAAAGCAATTACGGTATAAAGCTTTATTCGAACTCTAACTTCCCTCATTTTATACTTTCTTTGCGATATTGGGATTTATTTTGCAACCAAACAGGAGAAAACAACCCTCTTCAGATCCTCTACTGTAACACAAAGCTCAGTTAGTCTGCAACAGATGTTAAAGGACCAAATCACAAGCCACTGTAAGCTTCCTGATGGTGAATAAGCTCCTATGTTCCTTCTCTATGTCTGTTGTCTGTCTCAGTGATCAGCTGACAGAACATCAGATGTGTACATTTTATAATTTGAGACCCTAGAGTTAGTTGTTCATCTTAAAGTTTTCCCTCTTTCACACAATATGGCGTCCAGTGATAACACAGGACTAAAAAACAATTCTTTCCAGTAATGGGAACCAGACTGTCATTAAGTAGTAAACAACCTTGTTTGACGTTGTATGGCTGAATTATGGTATCTGAATGTTAAGCTGTGAAGCAACGCGTCCTTATTTTAACCAAAAACATGTCAATTGTGAAACAGTGCTCTTTGGGTTGCATGCAGAAGTGAAACAGCAACACCACATCAGACCTGAGGACCAATTCCACTCATCAGGGGGCATGTCTGGCTCAGGTTCAGTCCTGGTTAATGTAATGCTTTTTTGTTTCAAAACCTTGATGTGGGCTTGCTGACAAACAAACACAATGTGGCCTCCAGGTTGTTTCCTGTACAGCCTTGTCATTTTTAAACTAGCCCACACAACCACCATCTAACCAATCAACTACAAAAACAACAGCTCAAGCAAGTCAAGTTAACCCCCTCTCACATTGAACTCTGTGTTTAACTCTGACAGATACATCCACACACACTTTTTCCTATCGCATACCTATTAGTGCTGAATGAGGATCCACAGGAGCCGTGTGGCTGGCTCTCCAGTGTAAGGACCTACCAGGCTGCATGGCTCATTACAGCTCCTCTGTAGCCCTGTAATTATCAATACCCTTACCAACCATCTACATAAAGCCTTTCATTAACATAGAGGCGCACAGAAAGTATGCCTTCATCAAGTGAGAGATATCCATCTGTCCACCTCCAGGGTTTGAAATTTGCATGACCGAAATGGCCCATTTGTTGACATTGTTGCTGAAAGGGGAAGTTTGAAGTAGTTTGGGTCCATGGAGTTTTAGACGTCCCCGTATCACAGCGCCTGTGCAGAGGCTGATGATGTTTATGAGTGTTCATGCCATATGAGTGCTGCAGCAAGCCTCATTTAGCCAGAGAAGGCGGAGATGTAATCAGCGTAGGAAAAAAAATGCCAGTTTGAGAGGACTGTTTATCAGCCACAGGTGCAAATACACAATCTGTTCTGAATACACCCATATACGCTTCCTCTTATTCAGGGACACACACATCGGGACTGCAGGGATTATCAGAACAAAAACTTGTTATGGTACATAGGGAGCTGGTTGGCAGATAGGAATCTGAATGTTGTGACTTGAAATGCACACATCACCCGCTGGAGTTTGTCTGCTGTTGCTGATTTAGAGGGAAGGCCTTGGTGTTACTGTCACCTGTGGGGTTTTTCCAACAGATCTGTTGTCCCTTCGTTGTTTTGTTCCACACCAAACCCTCGGGACATGCAAACCCAGCAGATACTATATCCTACTCACAGCCTCTCCGGATCCTCGTGAGAGCCAGAGATTTGCATCCCCTAACAGTCAGCCATTATATCACACTGGTGTGGATTACAGTCTCAGCCATGATAATCTATTGTGTTTGCTCAAAGCTTTAATGAGAAATTTTCTATGACATGCTTTAGAGCCTCCTAAAGGTTGTCTATTCATTTCAATGATTTATTTTTATATCTTTACAACCTGTCTCTCCAAATGGTCAAAACCTGCATCTGTTTGGCAGCCAAAAATCTTTAAAAAACTATATATCCTAAAAAAATAAATGAAAATGAGACATATCAAACTTAGAAATCTAGTGTTAATTTCCTATTCAGTTATTTTGTTCTCTGGCATAAAATGAGCACCACATCACAAGACTAGTAGAGACCCTCAGTGTGGTAGTGTTGTTCATACATCAGTTTTGTATTCTTCCTGCCAGCATCCCCTTTCCAAACTTATTGTGTTGAATCACGAGATTTGTCACACACTGCCCAAGCTTTTCCCACGTGCCCACGCTGTTCCCTCTCTGTGCCAGTCTTGTTTGGCACTGGCTGGCTCTATCTGCAGATATAAAAGACCATTGAAGAGGCGAGGCAAACAGCTCTGAGGGGGTTGGTAGAGATCTCTAAAAACAGGCAGACTATTATGTACAGCAGACAGATGCAGGTTGTAGTGTAGCATGTTTGCTGGAAAGAGATAGTGGGCCTGTGTCTGTAAATGAAAGCTGATGTGAAGACTCGTCAAATGGCTGCTGTTGATGTTGTCTGCCATGTAGGTCAATTGGGTTCTCTTCCTGCCCCGTTTTGTTGGATGTTTTGACCTCTTGCTTTGTGACTTCTCTCAGGCCCATTGGTCTGCCGAGAGTGCGGCCCAGGTTTGTGTATCTGTGTTTGGATGCAGATTGCCTCACTGAGGGAGTAAATGATGTCACAAATCCCAGCAGTGAAGTCTGCCTTGTTGATGTCTCCCGGCAGTTTGCAAACCGAGGCAGTGTTCATTGTCTGACACGCTGGCTGCACTACGCTGTTATTGACCCCCATGGTCAGCTTCAAGGATTAAGATATACTACAAATTATATTCATCTCTTCATAGCTGCAGACAATTGTGAATTAACATGAAAGACATACCATTCGTTAAACCTTAATGGGACGGTAGGGTAGGGTATTATGTCACCCCGGCATGTAAATTAGCTCTTACTATCCACAAGTAAAAAAAAAAAGGTTGTAATCAATTAGGTCCAAATACAGTCCTTTAACAGATCACTGAAATGCTCATTTCCAAGTCTTCAAAACTTGTTGTGCCTCATGTTTAAACATCCACTGCTTTTTGTAGACAGTACATTTTAGTTTAAGGGCAAAGTGAGAATGTGAAGGCCTGACTTTACATTGATATCTTTGAAAGTCTAAAATACATAATGCACAATGTGTGTGATGTGAAATTTAAAAATAGTGAATATGTGCTAATTAATGGCATGATATGAAAATATCTGTTTCAAAGGTGCAGTGACAGTGTCAAAGATTCAGTTTGCCATATTGTTGGATCTCATGAAATGACTGCATGTACTAATGTACTAATGTACTAATACTTAAATACTTAAATAAAATAATAAAAAATATATTTTTTTAAAAGAAATATTGCATTAATCTTAGTATCCTGGGTCGAGAAGTGTTTCTTGGATTTACAGTGGTTTATATGATACTGAACTTTGGAGTGTTTCTAAACCTTTTAGTAAACTAAATTTGAGAGCACCTAATACTTAACTTCCCTTTGATTAGAGGTTACACCCTTTTTCTGGAATCCTCTCCAGAGATGTTGGATGTGAAGTCATGTCTTTCTAAAATGTCGCAGCTGTAAAATATACAAGTTGAACCTATATATGAGAGAAAAAAATATAAGAGAAAAACAATCTACAAAGCTACTAGCTATTGACATCCTTCTCATCTGAAGCCTGAGGCATAGATTGAGATAAGAAACATCTCAGTAAGAGAGAAAGGCCTAAGGCAATGCTAATCCCCAAATACAGCTCTGAAAATTAGTCATCAAACCACTTTTATCACTGAAATGTTTTGCATAAACTGCAGAATATGGGCCTCTTGTGTGCACGGATAAAGTAGTTTGGTGTGTGCGATCTGACGCACGTATAGTGTGGGTGCGTTTATGGGGAAGAAGACTGGAACTTGTTACCCACCTTGGAGGTCGTATCCAAACTCCTCCCTCACATGTAATCAGGCCTGATGAAGTGTGACACATTCTGTGAGATACTGCGAGGGGTTACATGCACTAAGGTAAGACAACAAACCCAATGACCGCAGTGTGTTGAGAATAACAACACACAAAGGCATGTGAGCAGAACAAAGCATACACAGTCCTCAGCTGGTCTTTATTGGGGGGTCGTGGCCTTCTTCTCTCTGCTCTATCGGTGTAAATCCCTTGTTCCTTGAACCAGACCCGGAGTTATCCCCATAGCTAAGACACCCTGGGTGACATTGGGAAGCCACTCCACCCTGGATCTCTTTAATCTCCAGGCATGTACACCCTTTGGCTGGCCTCTGTAGTGGCATCATCTCCAATATCCCCCATAGTTTCACCTTATCCTTACGCACATAGTTGCATAAGTAAATCACAAGTGTTTCCAGGCACCATTTCACTCACAACACCTCCTGAATGCATGTGTATGCATTTATGCATTTAGCTGACGCTATTATCCAAAGCAACTTACAAAAGTAGACACAATGTTACAGTTATCGTCAATTTGACAATACGCTCTCTTGAGGGAAATCCTTAGTCAGAATCACATTCACAATACATTCACACTTTGTTTTATTTTTTCACTCTAGTGGTGGCTGTCCACTATTGATTCATGAA